AAATACGGTATTTCACTGTTTTTACTTACCCATAAATCCAAGCCTTATTAATTACAAAGTTTTAGAAATTAAATAAAATTAAAGAAAGAGAATAAGACAGACATTTTAAATAAATTAAATGCAAATATTATCAGAAATACTACAACTTCCTTCACAACAATCAGCATCATTATTACAACTATCATAAACTTTAACACATTTTGTACATTTACCCCCCTTACATTTAGTACCATAACAACAAGCATTATCACTTTTACACCCCATTCCATCAGTATTACATTTATCTTTAGAACATCTATAAAGGTTGATATTTTTGACAGCTGTAAGTCGGCAATATAAGCCGGGACAGCAAGGAATATTTTGTGTGTTGTCACAGGGAAAAATCTCCCCTAAATTAATACAATCACTTTTTATTAATTTAATTATTAATAAAATTGTAAAAACAAAAATTATTAAAGTATTGTTGAATGAAGCCATTTTTTTGTAAATTTTGTTGTAGAAAAAATTAATTTATCTTAATTTAGAAAATTTTTTTAATTTTTATTTTAAAATATTTTTAGAGTAATGAAAATTTACTTGATGAAAAGATTTTTTGGTTTTCTGAAAGTTTCATAAGTTTTGTTTTTAGTAGCTCTATTTTATAATTTAAAATAAATTTAACTTGTAGTCCGATGCAAAGGAGAGGCTGCGGGGTGTCAGTGGGACGTCGGGATGAAATTTGTAGACAGATAGATCATACTTTAGTTGGGATGGTGCAAATTTCACAACTAAAGTAGGAATAACCCTCCCAATGAATAACCCTCCCAATCTCCAAAATGGTGATACCGTATTTACTGAAATAGTACGGCCCCCTTTATTAGAACGGCCCCCTCAAATAGTACGGCCCTTTCGATGAGGGTTGAAAAATAGTACGGCCCCCTCAATTAGTACGGCCCACTTATTAGTACGGCCCCCATGAAAAAATAGTAAAAATCTTTTCTTTGAATTATATTAATTATCCTCACAATATTAAGCTGATTTTATGAAATTTTAGTAGTATAGTAGTGATGGACGGGAGTTAAAAAAGCCGAGAGTCGAGAGTTAAATCCATCTTTCTTATTAAACTATTAAGACAACTGAGGTGTATACAACGGTGAAAAATCGGATATCCGAAACCGAACCGAAGAAGAGAACTCAACCCTTTACAAGAGTCTTTCCGCGCCTGTTTTAAATGACCGGAAACTTGAGTAAAATAAGATAAATTAGTAATATAAGGAGATTCCATTTATATTAGTCCGGAAGACTATGAGGTATTTAAGATCACGGATTCAATAAAATCCGAAAAAGGCCAAAAATAGGTCCGAATTTTGAGTAGTCCAAATTTTGAGTATTTTGAGTAGTTTTTCGAGCTAAGATTTTTTTCGAGCGGGTCGAGTTTTTCGAGTCCTATTTCAAAAAATTTTTATTCAATCATCATCATTATTTAAATGAAGTTAATTAACTTCAGGCGCTAATTTAAGTTTATTCAAAGATCATTTAATGTCTAATAATATCCTCCGCATGTGGATATAGAAGGATTAGAAGTTAAGTTATTTGAAGGCTAACAGGCATATAAAGGGATTTGAGAGATATCTAAGGAGTTAGAAAGATTAAAAAGAATTTTGGAGGAATTGTAGGCGTAAGCGTACCTGAGAATTTATGGGATCAAGGGAGATAACGTTGAATTTGTGAGGACCAAGGTAGATATCGGGGGATTAAAAAGGATTTCGTTGGTGTATAATAAAAAACAAAGAAATATTCAATATACACAGACTTAGTTTAGGGTAGCACAACCAAGAAATTATTCAGAAATTCCAAAGGAGGGTTGAAATATAGTACGGCCCCCTCAATTAGTGCGGCCCCCTCAAATAGTACGGCCCTTTGGAAGAGGGTTGAAAAATAGTACGGCCGGCCGTACTATTTCAGTAAATACGGTAATTAAAATAAATAATTTTGAATCAGAACTTTAGAGATTTTTCATTTAATTAAATTATTTTTAATAAAAAAATTTTTGGATGAAATATTTAATTTTTACTCAAATAATTTTTTAAATTTAAATAAAATAAATTTTTTACCAACAATAAAAATTTACTTAATTTTTTATTAAATGTTTAATTAGCTTAAATTATTTAAATTACATGTGATTACATGTGATTTGTACATGTGATTGCCTCATAGCGCCTTGTACGCCTCATGTGAAGTAAAATTGAACGTGATATTTTGTTTATTTAAATCATCAAATTTGGATAGATTTTAAAATTTATTTTTAGTTTTTATTCCAACTAAATTTAAAAAAATTAATTTGGAGAGAAAAAAAATATAAAAAATTAAAAAATAATAACGTGTCAATTACATAAATTGATTTAAACAATCTATCTTACAATTTACCTAGTTATCAATTTCTGGCCTAAATTCGCTTTTTGAGATTGAGCTAAATATTGGCAATTTATACATATTTATGTTAATCGAATGAGCTCGTCAAGCTGAGTCGAGTGACACCAGAATTAGCTTAATTTGATGATTTAAATAATCATTTTACAATAAAAACATCAGAATTAAATCTGAACATTTTAAATAAACTTTCTCACAACATTATTCTGATTTATTAATTATTGTTTCAGTTTTTCTGATTTTATTTTCGGGTTCGTATTAAATTCTGATATTTTATTTTCAAGTTCGTATTAAATTCTGATTTTATTTTCAAGTTCGTATTAAATTCTGATTTTATTTTCAAGTTCGTATTAAATTCTGATTTTATTTTCATGTTCGTATTAAATTCTGATTTTATTTTCAAGTTCGTATTAAATTCTGATTTTATTTTCATGTTCGTATTAAATTCTGATTTTATTTTAAAGTTCGGATTAAATTCTGATTTTATTTTCAAGTTCGTATTAAATTCTGATTTTTTTTCAAGTTCATATTAAATCCTGATTTTATTTTCAAGTTCGTATTAAATTCTGACTTTATTTTAAAGTTCGGATTAAATTCTGATTTTTTATTTTCATGTTCGTATTAAATTCTGATTTTTTAATAGGATTTTAATGTTCAGATAAAATTCTGATTTATATCAGTTCTGAATTTCTTACTATAAAAACAACAAACATCTAAACATTTCTTCCCAAACATTTCTCAAAACTTCAACTCTAGTTTGTGTTTTCTCCACTTTTCTTCTACCTAATGGCTACAATTCCTCTCAATAATCGCTTTTTTGTTGCAATTGTTCTCCTGCTTAATGTTGTTGGTTCCGTGTTTGGACGTTCCGTCCCTCGTTTCCTTCCTTCTACTAAAGAACCTACTACCACAACAAACGCCGCAACAACTACCACGACAGCCATTACCCCATCAGAAATTATTCCTGTCTTCGATCAAAACTTCTTCCAGCACACTATTGGGGAGTGGAAAGTTTGGAGTGTTGCTGCTGCTATGTACCTTGCTATGTGAGTTTTTTTCTTTAGAGCCAAAAAAGGAATTTTAACGAATTTTAGGAACGCTCTGGTCTATGTTCTTACCTATTGCTGTTATCTTGAGAAGAAGTGTGCTGTTGCTACGGTAAAGTTTTGGGGGTCAGACTACGCTATAAAGTATACCCTTGGAATTGAAAGGAGCATCTTATATAATTCTAAGGGGTATCTTAAGGTGTGGTCAGACTTCCAAGAATTCTGATTAATTTAGAAACAGAATTCTGATTTTTTCGTTAAAATCAGAACTATTTTTTCTTTGAGGTCTCCCCCAAATCAGCATCGGCTTCTTCCTCTACCGTCGTCGAATTTAGCAACGTGGAGTACTCGGAAAGTGCAAAAACTGCAGGAGACCTTAGTGTTCGTACAGCCAAAAGTCTTAGCCTTCCCTCAGCCAAACAAGCTTCTCGTAGACCCCCAAAATCACAAAAAACCCAAAAGGAATCTGAGAGGGGAACTTCAAAGTCTCAAAAGTCTGCAAAGCTTCCTTCTACAAAAAGTTCAGAAGAATCAACGGCAAAATCAACATCCACTAGAACGGCGACTTCTACCAAAGCAACAACAAGTAAGAAAGGGACAACGACGAGTACTTCAAAGAGAACTACGGAAACTGGGAAAACTTCTACTACATCGGGAGGAAGCGGTAGGGGGTTTTGAGTTAAAGAAAAAAATTGGGGGAAGCTTGGGGGTTGACTCTTGATTTGCTGTCATTGACCAGATTTTTGACTTTGAGTCAAAACTAAAGAAACTTTTAAACATTACTCTGATTTTAAATTAAGGTCAATCTCTAGTATTTAGTGACTGAAGCATTTTGACTGTTTTTTGAAGCATTACCGTCGGACCTTACCATAGGGAACCCCTCTGAGCTTAAAAACTGTAACTTATGTTGAGGTTCTGCCTAATTAAAGAAATTTTTTGCCCTAGACACTACCTTCCACAACATTTGCTATCTAGTGGTTATCCAAATTTAAAAAGTATCTTAAATAGAGGTGTTCTTATATTGGTAGTATCTTGTAGAGAGGTCCAACTTTCAAAAAATGTTTCCGAATTTTTTAAATTTCCTCTTTTTCAGAAGGCAGTAAATCGTCCGACAGCACAGAAGAAGCTTCGAGTACTTCTGCTGGTTCGAATGAAAGTGAAACTAGTGGTGGGTCTGAGAGTTCTGGCTGAAAAGAAGGGGTGGAATGGAGAAATATGTAAATAATAGGATTCATTGGATGTTTATTTTTTGTTGAAATTATTGTTGTGTTTATTTAAAAATCTTAAATATGTTGTGTATAATTTTTTTGTCAATAAAAAAGCTGTTGTTTTCAAATTTAAAATTTTATCCAGCGCCCAAGTAATTTTTTCAACCCCTACTGGCATTTTGTCTATTTTTTGCCGAATGGGCATTTTGTCAAAAATGTTCTTATTGGCATTTTGTCAATTTTTCGCCTATGGCATTTTGTCTGCAAAGTTATGCATTTTGATGACATTTTGTCCCTGAGTTTTCCACTACCTATAAAAATTTTATTTTTTGTTTAATTTTCTCAATTTAACAGACTTTTTCCAATGTTTTCCTCATCCATAACTTCCGCTAAACGCCTTCTACAAATTAATTATAGATTAGCATCAAGACTTGTTGGCAAAAATATTCCAGTTTCTTCACAAAATAAATTAACAAAAAATGTTTCAATTAAAAATGAAGAAGAACAAAATATTAAAGAAAATAAAAGTTTGTTTAAAATTAATTAAAATTGAAAAGAGCAATTTTGGTGTAGTGGGAAGGTGTTTAGTTTTCCCCTAAGGGGGTCGAAGGTTCGAATCCGTTCGTGGTTTTTCTTTTTATTTTTAACTTTTTTTGTCTAAAAATTATTTTTAAAATAATTCTACTTAATTTTCTCGTATAAAAAATTTTTTCCAGCCTCAAAAAATAAACATTCGCTAATTCGTGGCCCAATAACTTTTCCATTGACTATCGACAACTTTGAACGAATATGTGTTAAAACGACTGGGGCTAAGGAGGAAAATGAAAGATATTTACATTTGGCAAAGGTTTTTTAATTTTTATCTTGATTTTTAGGTGAATTTTTGAAGGAAGAAAACTTTTAAAGATTTGGTATTTTTGCGGACACATTTTGCGGATTTTTTTTAAATTGTATTTTTCTAAGGGCTTCCTTAAAAAATTTTTTTAATTCTTCTACCCTTTCCTTTTATTAATTAATTGGATGACAAAACAATAAAAAAGGCTAGGAAAAGTGCGTTAGAAAGTGCTACCAAAGATTTTCTGACTGCCAAATTTTTAGAATGGATTTCCCCTTGGAGATTAACTTCTGTTAACTTTTCTCGGGAAAGCTAAAAATTTTTTAATATCAAGATTTAGGTGTTTTATAGTTCTAATCTATTTAAAATACATTTATTTGCGAGTAGTGATCATTTAATCCTATTTTTTGGGGCAAACTTTTACTTTTTTAAAATCCGCAAAAATTGTCCGCAAGTTTAGTATAATTACCCAATTTAAATTTTCTTTCAAATTTTAGTTTAAAGCCGACAAAAAATCTTCGAAACGATTTACTTTTTCATATTCAAACGATGCTTTTCTGTTTTTGAGATCATTGGATATTCTTACTGATGAATGTAATGAAAATATACATGGAATAATTGAGAAATGTAAAGGTTTGGGGAGTTTTCTTGAATTGAAAATATTTTTCTGGACCTATTTTTCGGACAAATTTATGCTGATAAAATTATTTGAAATCGGATACCTCATTTTTAGATACCTTAGAAAGATAATGAGAGGGGTTATATAAATTGAGGTTATTGCTTATGTAGCTTCCCAGCCAATGGCCAACAAATTTGAAAAATATTCCCTTAGATAGAGAAAAATCTTCGAAAATCGTCTTCCAAAATCTGTTAAAATACCAAATTTAAAATAATGTGAGTTTTAGAAATTATGGCCAAAAATGTTGATTTTCTGAAAAATGCCTAATTTTTCGAGGTCTATCGACTATAACTTCTGAAATATTTGATGAACAATTCTGAAATTTCTGTAGGAGGTAGTCAAGGATGTTAAAGAAATTTGAGAAAAATTTTATAAATTTAGGTCTCGCCTAAGTACCAGTTTTTAGTACTCGCGCCAAAACGGCCCGGCGCCAAAACGACCCACCCCTAAAATTGATTTTCGACTAAAAAAAATTTTTGTCCGCAAAAACATTTTTTAAAAACTTTCCCATATTTTCCTTTTATTTTTCCAGGTATTTCCAAATCCAAAGAAAATTCATCCTCTTCCTTCTATTTATATAAATCTTCAAGTTTTGTGTCCCCAAAAGGGCTTTGTTTAGTTGGGCTTGTTTGGAATTTGGACGAAAAACAGTTATATTGCCAAATAAAATATATTTATGGAGTTAATAATTTAAATAATTTAAACAACAACAGAACTGAAACTTTGGAAATTCATTGGGCTAATTTGAAGGGGTTAAGAAATATTGTTTACCATATGTTGTATGGATGGCAAAAAACGGTTGAGAAAAATTTTGTTTTTAAAAAATTAGAGTTGAACCTTAATTGAAGGGTTTAGGGCAGGACAGTGGCCAGGGGGGTACAGTGGCCTTCTAAAAATTCTCAAAGTTTTCGCCTAAAATTCAGAATTTTCCAAAAATTCGTCGCAGAAAATTTTTCCTCCCTTGGCCCTCCGCCCCCCCCCCCCTCCCCGAAACAAAATCCTGGCTACTGGCTTGTTTCAGGGACTAGAAAAATTTTCTAATATTTGGGATCGAACTAAAAGACTGAAAAATCCTCGGTTTATGGATTCGTTTTCGTATAGGACGGGAACTGTCTTTAAAAGATTGTGGTCTGGTTTTAAAATTTTCTTCAGTCTCGGATCGAAAAAAGTCCTAATACTGAGTTGAGTCACTTCCTCTCTTATATCTCTCAATTCGTTAAATTTTTCTTTTTTAGCAAATACTGGATGATAAACCAAGGCCAACTACAAACCAGTAGGAGGAGAAAATTCAAAAATTAATCAAATGAAATTCGTTTTGTTTTTTTTAAATTCGTTTTTGTTTTCCCTTTCATTTGTTTCAAAAAATTTAAAAGTCCAAATACTTTTAATTTAATAAATCTATTTTTAAAATTAAATATATATTTGTTTTAAGCCTAAATAAAAAAATTGTTTTTTCTCTCCTCTTCAATTAAATTTTAAGTAAATATAAATTGTGAGAATGAACAACAATTACTTAATAGAAAAAGCTATTTTTATAATTTTTTATTAACTGTATTTTTAAAATTATTGAGGGCAGATGATCGAAGATCTGAAAAGATATACAAAACTTGAGTAAGAGTTTAGCAAAAGTTTAGTTACTGGGCGGATTTCAACCCGCGACAACGTTCGCTCGGCCTCGCTCACACAAATGCAGGTGCTCTACCACGGAGCTACCGGGGCACTAATGCTTTCTTCCCTTTTTAGATCGTTCAACCCCCGCTTAAGCGTTTTAAATGCTCAATGTAGGTGAATCATCTTTGCACTAGTACATATATACCTAATAATAATTATGATCAGAATAACAAAAATCAGAGTGTGTTTAAATGAATGAATGAAATCATAAATGAGTTTTTGTCGATATTTTGGGTAGAGCTTGATTGTGATTGTAAATAATTTAAAGCGGAGGGGATGTGTGTAGGTAAATATTTGAAAATACTTGAAATAAAAATTTTTTTTGAAGAAAAAATTAAAAAGTAAATCACTTCATTTTCTCGAATTTCTTCTTTTTCCTGTGAAGCACTTTTTAATTTTTAAAAATAAAAATATTTATAAATACACTAAAATAAAATTTATTTAATTAAAGTTAACACAAAATTAAATTTTATTTATTTCTTTGTGAGCCAGCTGAATTTTAAAGTAAGTTTCCGTTAAATATGTTTAAATAAATTTAAAAGTTTGTGTGAATTTCTTATCACTGTCTTAGACCATTTTTTTCCAAAGATTTTTTAGAAAAAATATAATTCTTTGGTATTTTGAAGTCTGGAACGAAAAAATTGCCTATAGTCCAGAGTTTTTTTTGTAAAGTTTTCCACGACTTGAATATAAATCTTGATCTTGAGTCTTTGGAAAATTTTCAGTGTTGGAAGTCTTATCAGGCTTATCCCTCTTCTCGGCTCTTTTAGGAAACCGTGCCGTTGGCGATATTTCAATTCCCTTGTTTCCCGTTCTCAGTTTTTTTTCAACATTCAGGGCTCTAAGCCTCTTCACCATTAGATTAATTTTTGGCTTTTTGCAAATTTTCTTGGCGTTAAGTTTAAATTCTGTTAGAAAGAAATGTTAAAATTTTAATTTAAATTCCAATTATTCAACAAAAAATCTTTTTACCCAGCCATTTTTCTCCCACGCATTCCTTCCTTAAAACAAGTTCAATTACTAAACAAAATTTATTTTTTCTTAAATTTTTTTATTCTTTTTTTAATCTTTCCGCTAGTTTAAATTCTCTTTGTATTAAACCAACATTTATTTTTTTCTTTTAAAATTTATATAAAAAATTTTTGTCTGTCTTAGACTTTCTTTCCGTTTGCTTGATTTGTGGGGTTTTTAAATTAAAAAAAAATTTTTTTTTGGAAATTCCAAAGAAATTCTTGAAATTTTTGAAATTATTTTATTTTTCTTTGTTGTATATAATTTATATGAAAATAGAAAAATATGCATATGTTAATAAATTAGGGATGAAAATAGCAGGTATATGCACGAGATTTCTCTCCTATTTTTATCTCTCAAAAAAGACTATTTCGTTCTATCTCTAACCAGAATCCGGAAATTACTATATTCCGGAAAGTTGTAATATCGAAGAAATATAAATGTCTATTCCGGAATTTGTTTTCCGGAAAATATTTATAATATAGTGGAAGTGAGGTAAAAGCTTAGCCCCTGGCAAGCAATGACCCTTCGCCATCCTTCTAGTTATTCGCTCACCACGTACAGTTGCTCTACTGACTGAACACTTTTTTTAATAAGACTGAACTCTCTTTTTTGTAAGGATGATTCACCTAGAGATTTAAAACACTTAGGCGAGGGTTAAACGATCTTAGAAGGTAAAAGAGAAGCATTAGTCGATGCTCCGGTAGCTCATTGGTAGAGCTTCTGTATGTATGTAGTGAGCGAAGGCGGCTAGTAATAACTACGAGGAGGTCGCAGGTTAATCCTGCCCGGTGGCTAAGCTTTTACTAAACTCTTTCTTTTTTCATACATTCCAAAAAATAATTTAATTTCTGGAAAAAAAATTATGAAAAGAATTATACATTTAATAATTTTCACTTGAAAATGTCCTTGTAATTAACTATATTCACTCAAATAATTTTTCTATCGATTCTTAAAAATATAAAGGATTAATTTAAAAAAAATCTCGTCACTTTGCGCACCAATTCTCTCCCCTCTTTTTACATTTTAATTTGTTTGAATAAAAAATGTTCGTTATTTATCTCCTTTTCATTTTCCCTTTTTAATTTGTACTCGGCACGACATCCAAACATACCTTAGTTGAGTCCCGAGCGAATAACTCATGAATAGCTGGAAATTTTTAAAAAGATTTTTATACCATTCGATAGAGAATTAAATTTGCTACAAAATGGGAGAAGAAATTAAAATTTTGAGTTAAATAAGAAAAAAGATATAGGCTAAAAACCTGACAAAAATGCCCGTTTTTGTGCTTATTTTTGTCTGTTTTTGTCTATAACATTTTTCAGAATTAAGTTGAATTTCTAGTTTTCTGATAATTTATAGCAAATTTAATCCTCTATCGAATGAAATAAAAAGATTTGGAAAATATCCATCCGTTCTAGAATTATTAACCAAAGACTCAACTAAACTAACAATGTTCCCTTCACATTACTTATGTGTTCCTTTCACATTACTTCTCTCTCTTTTCTCTATAACGGAATTAAAACCCCTTTATTTTTGTTTTTAGACGGACTTGCGCCATTGCTTTTTTTAATGTTTTAAGCTTTTGTGTGAAAAAAGTCCATTAGTACAAAATATATTATTTTATAAACACTCAATTTTAATAAATACATGTATTTTTTGTCGATAAAATAAAATTTTAATAAATTAATTTTATCTTCCATTTTTTATGTCAGTCGATAGAGAATTCAATTCGTTATAAAATGGAATAAAAATCAGAATTTTTGAATGTTTACCAGAAAAGTTATTTTCGAAATTCTGAGTTATCTTCGAAAAAATGCAAAGTTATTGCATGTATTCTGACCATAACTTTTTTTAAAAAATAATCTAAAATTAAATTTTTTGTCTTATTTTAAAGAAAATTAAATTCTCTATCGAAAGATACCAAAAACTTTGAAAAAAAGTTTATTTATTAAAAAGTTATGAATTTTTTAAGGAAGCATGTTCACACAAACATAAACTGCCTTCAAGTTTTTCTCACACATTTTAAAATAAAAAAATTTCACAAAATAATTCACCTTTTCTTTTTTAAATTGTGTTTTATTATTTTGAGGTTAAATTTTAAAAAATAAAAGTCAGTTGTTCAAAAAATTATTAAATTTGAGGTTAAAATTATTTAAAATTCCTCAAGTGATCCCCTCCCCTATTTTACTTTCTTTTCATTTTTTCATATTTTTTCATGCTGCTTTTAATAATTTTATTAAAGGAAAAAGTTTTTTAAAAGATTTAAAACTTTTTTTGTTGCTTTTATTTCTTTTTAGGAAATTTTATATTAAATAAACCCCCCCCCCCCCCCCAGATTGTCCAAAGACTAAAATTAACTTTTTATTTTTAATGCCAATTTTTACTTCCTTTTTATTCCACTTAATTATATAAAGTTATGAATTTTAAAATCCTTAATATTCTTTTATGAAGATGTATACCGTAAATATTCTAATATAAGCCCTGGGCTTATATTTTTCAATGGGTCTCCTCGGATGGGCTTATATTAGAGGTAGGCTTCTAACAGAAGTATATTAAGTTTGGACTTGGTTTGGACTTGGACTCCGTCTTTTTTTGAATAAATCCAGACTCCAAAAGTCTCAATTCAGGAAAAAGCCGATCCTGAAGATTTAAGCTCCAACGATCTCCTCCAATAATTTTCGTTCACCCCCACATTAAATAATAATTTTTTGGTAATTGAGAAGGAATACTAATCTAAAAACGCGAAAGGAGGGTATCACTCGACTCCGTTACCAAGACATTTCGGATGGTACTGCATCTTTCTTTTAAAAGAGTCCAAGCATATAATTTATATTAATCTATTATTTATTTTTCCCCTTACTGTTACTAATAACGAGATTCCCGATTTTTTCTTAAAATTCTCAATAAATTATTTATAATTAAAGTCTTCAAAAAATTATATAAAATTTAAATTTATTAATTGTATGCACATTGCTCTAAAAATGAGTTGCGCAAGTGTTAGCGCTACTTCTATGCTTAGACCGTAAGTTTAAAACAAATTTATATGGAAATAATTATAAGAGGGTTTGCTTAAGTTGAGTTAAGTAGGGGATGAATTTTGGGCTTAAAACTTGGATTCTGATGCACCTATTCCAATTTTTTTGGTATTATTCGATAGATAATTAAATTTTCTATAAAATAAAATTTAAATTAAAATTTTACTCTAAAAATCAGAAAAGTTATGATCAAAAAACCTTCAAAAATAGACAAAAATGTTGAATTTTTGGGCACAACTGTTTTAATTTTTTCTCTAAAATTTTTTTAAATTTTATTTTGTAGTACAGGGTGCGGCAAATTAAGCGCGCGTTTGTTTTTTGCCATAACTTTCTTTAATTTTAATGAAAATTGATAATTCTTTTTTTGTTTTATTCCCAACACTTTAGGAAACTTGCTGATACCAAAATTGCTTTTTAATTTTAAGTTTACTCTGAGTAAACTATCCTCAAAGTTTGAGCAGAATTTTTTGGATAAAAATTGGCCTAGATTCAAGGCTGAGATTTTAATATTGGAAATGTTTATATCATTCGAATCAGCTCTTCATTCTGATTCGAATGACATAAAAATCAGGGGGCTACGACAAAAATCGAATGAGATACGGTCCTCTGAATGATAAATTAAAATAATTTTGATAAAAATAAAATTTTTGTGTAAAATTTTCAAAAATGAGATTATAAGCTATTTCGATGCTCCTGAACGAGATGAGTCGTTTAGTACCAAAATCATTGGTATTGAACGATTTTGAACGAAGTTATGATCAATTAAACTTTGGCATAAAAAATGTTTTTAAATTTTCCAGACGTTCGAACTCGATTATCTTTGCCAACAGTGAACCAAATTTTTAATATTTGGTATCAGCAAGTTTCCTAAAGTGTTGGGAATAAAACAAAAAAAGAATTATCAATTTTCATTAAAATTAAAGAAAGTTATGGCAAAAAACAAACGCGCGCTTAATTTGCCGCACCCTGTAAATTTAATTCTCCATCGAATGATTACATGCTTATTTTATCCTGTTTATTTTTCATAAAGTTATGGGACTTTGAATTAGCTTATGGGGTACACCCCGATGTACCGTGAGCCCAATGTACCGCCGAGCTATAACGTTCAAAATTGTCGTATCCTTGGCGCCCTGATATGGTTGGATGCGGCTCGATCAGCTGAATCGAACATACCGAAGCGCCACGTATTCGACAATTCTGTAAAAAGTTATAGCTCAGCGATACATTGGGCTCGCGGTACACTGGCCTGCTCCAAGGAATGAATTAAACATTCACTTGAACAAAAAATAAAAAATTAAAATAAAATTTAAAAATAATAAAACTGGAGAAAATAAAGAAAGAAAAGGAGCTTCTATTAAATTAAATTTAGCTTTACAAAAAATTTTGGGGGTTTTAGTCAATTATTATATTTCTTTTTGTGTTTATTTTTGTTGTCTTTTTGGGGTTTTTTGTGTTAGCTTTTAATTGAAAAAAAGAAATAAATGCCTTTTTTATTCATTTATGCCAAAATAAATGAATTTAATAAAATATTGGTATATTTTAAAAAATGTTGAATAAATATATTTGACGTCTTCGACGCAAACAATGCTGTTTGTTTGTTATCTCAATTTGTTTATGTATTTTTAAATGTTTATTTATTTTGTTGAAACATTGTTTATCACGTGTTCATAAATTAATTGTTTGTTTCATATTTGTTTCACATTTTTTGTTTGTTCATATGTATGTTTAGTTTGTTTTGTTTTCCTATGTTTGTTTAATTGTTTGTTTTACTTATTTCTTTTTAATGTTCAAATAAAATTCTGGTTTTCAAGTTTGGATAAAATTCTGATTTCAGATATGTTTGTTTTCTTTAATATTAATTGTTCTGATTTATATTTAAATATTTCTGTTTATTCATGTTCAGATTAATTTCTGATTTTTTCTGTTTATTTGTTTATTCATGTTCAGATTTATTTCTGATTTGTTCTGTTTATTTGTTTTTTTAATGTTCAGATAAATTTCTGATTTTTGTTTGTTTTAATTTACTTTTTGCTTCAATTGTTTGTTTCGATGTTTTCCCTTAAAAATTATTTTAATTAAAAAATTGAAAAACATTTAAATGAATACTAAAAAATCAGAATAATTTTTAAAAATTAATTTTTGTTCTCAGAATTTCTGGAAATATGATGGCTGCAGCGCAACAACACAGGAAAAAGAGATCCCTGGCAATCAGAAAAACGGATGCTATGAATCACGCAGAAAGACAAAATGGAACAGTTTTGGACCAAATTTGGATGCAAGGCGATCCCTCCTCGTTTTTGGTAGGGGAATGAAAAAAAATTTTTTAAGCAAAAAAATATTCAGAATCTATCAACATCAGAAAATCAAACAAAATCAGAAAATCATCAAAATTTGGCGGTAATTGAAGAAGATGAAAATTTGAATTATTTAGAGAAGGATCCATTAATTGAAAAAAGCGATGGAGATAAAACTTTAAAAATAAAACAAAAACCAGAAGAGAGGGAAAATGAGAGGATCCCCCAACAACCGTCGGAATTTAGGGAAGAGGAAAATTCTGTTGTTTTGAGGTAACTAATAAATACAATGCAAAAATAACAATAGAATAGGCGAGACTATACTATATTCTTGATAAACCCTAGTGATGTTCGAGAGTTATAAAAAGCCGAGACTGAGAATCAACTCCGAGACTGAAACTTGAACCAAGACCGAGAGTCTCGAACATCACTATGTAGTAGACCCTAGCACACACTAGCTACATTTTATATTAACATAGGCACACTAAACACTAAATATTAAATATTTTTGAGTTAATGATAATTTATCTTATTATTTTTCGAGAAAAGTATGTATTAGATTGCCCTGAGATATGGAATATTATAGCCATACTCGGATTTTCTAACTAAAAGGCTTAAGAATTACCTTTCTGGTTACGAAATAGAAAGAAATCTTTCAAAATCTTTCACCTTCTTAATATTTATAATTTTATCTTTTTTTTTACAAACATAGCTAATAAGATAAATTTAAAATTATTTAAAATTAATTAAAAATTATTTTAAATCATGTAGACTAAACATTGGAGGAGTACCTTTTTTTGTTCTTGTTGAAGCTCTTTTGCATGCTGATCCAAGTACCTTCCTTACCAAATTTGTTCAACTATCTCATAGAGCGAAATTGAAGGTAATTTTAATTAATTTATAAATTAAAAATGTTTAAAATAATTAGGTTGCTGATGCTTTTTTGCTCCCTGAACGTGCCTATTATTTCCAGGTAACTTTGAAAATTAATAATAATTTATGAAGAGTTTATTTTTATTTATTTTGTTTTCGTATTTAGTGTTTTAGTTAATTAATTGAGAGGGTTTTTGATATGATTTTCCTTTCTCTATTTCAGAGAAGATTGTAAATTTACCATATATCCTTTAATAACTACCCTGGATAATTATTGTTTCGACCTTCCGGTGGAGTGAGTAATTAATCGAGGGGGTAATTATACAGGGTTATACGATTCAGCATACCCCATTCTATGCTGAATTTGGTAATTAATGGAAGTGGGGAGGATAATTATTTGAGGGAGGGCAATTAATACAGGTTATACGATAAGTAAAATCATTATTTTTTGTTTTCCAGACAGTTAAAAATTTTGATTTATTTTAATTAGGGTTTATCTTCTCCACATTATGTTGTATATTCTTAAAGATACCTTAAAAACAATCCCTAAATTAAGAGATCGCCACTTGCTTTTGAGGCAGTTTTTCAATATTACGCTAATGGAGTTGTGCACAAACCGCCTGAATTATGCCCATCTGCATTTAGTGCTGAACTTGAATTTTGGCGTGTGCCAACTAGCTATATTGGTTAATTTATTGGATAAAACAGCTTTGGGTAATTAATATGATTTAAAGGCGCTTGCTGTTCTGATTCAGTTTCACCACTTGAACGGCTTTTAGAGTCAAGTAAGGAAGATAAAGTGGACGATACAAGCTTTGAGAAGTTGAGATTTGGGCAGTTTAGACGAAGAATGTGGACTTTTTTGGAGAGACCCGGGTCTTCTATGCAGGTCATTTCTAGTCGGATATATTTATTTTGTTAAGCTTTTAGGCAAAGGTCTTTGAATTATCTTCAACAATGTTTGTAATGATATCGGTTCTTGGTTTAAGTTTTGGTACAATACCTGATTTTCAGGTCGGTAGAAAGTATAGAAAATTAAAATGGGTACTTGCTTCTACCGGGATCAATGAATCTGGTGAAATTTCTTCGTTGTATTATTTCCGGAAATTATTGCTAGAGGAAAATTAATGATGGGCATGAAGAAGGAAATAATAACTGAGACTTGAACTAGGGAAAGAGTTTAGCAAAAGCTTAGCCACCGGGCACGATTGAACCTGCGACCTCCTGACAGTTATTGCTAGGTGCTTTCGCACACCATATACAAGAGCTCTGCCATTGAGCTATCGGGGCATCGACTAATGCTGTCTCTTTTATCCTCGTTTAACCCCCGTCGCCTAAGCGTCTTAAATGCTCTAGATGAATCATCCTTACACTATTTGGGGGAGAGGGATCCAAAAAAAGCTCTCAAATTTATTTATTATACTTAATTCTGAAAAATAATTACAAGAAATACAATTTACGGGAAAATATTAAAAATTATTAAATTATTCTAAAAAGGTAATCGAATACGTTTCTTCTGGAAACCAGACAATTATGCTTCCAAACGGAACAGAAATAATTCAAGAAGATATAGAACCAATAAGAATCGAACATCCAATATTTGTATTTACCGAGCGTGTTTGTATAGCCTTCTTTACAATAGAATATTTATTGAGGCTTTTTGCTGCACCGAGAAAATTGAGATTTGTTTTGAAACCTCTCAATTTGGTTAATAATTAATAGAAATAATTAAAAATTAAATTAAATTTGAAGGTTGACTTGCTCGCAATTATGCCCTTTTATTTAGAACTTATGTTGACTTTAATGGGGGTAGATGATAAAAAGTTGAGAGATTTGCGTTGGGCTTTTTTGGTTGTCCGTATTTTGAGGGTATTAAGGGTTATTAGAATAATTAAACTTGGACGGTTCTCTTCTGGTTTACAAACTTTTGGAATGACTTTACAAAGGTGCTTAATTTAAATTATTTATAATAATCCCCAAATTATTGAGGAGGGGTAATTAGATTCTGATTTATTTTGGGAAAGTTATCCTGATTTTTATTTTCCTGAAAGTTGATCATATGTTTTATTTTATTAATTCAGGAATGATGAAAATTATTTAATTTACGGAATGGCAAAATTATTAAATATCTAGAGCCCTTTTTTAACCAACGGAAATATTTAAACAAATTTTTCCCAAGTTCCGAAGCTATGAAATTCTGATTTTCCGGACAATCATAAATCATTGTTCATTTAATTTTCTGAAATAATAATAAATTCCAATATATCGTATTTGCTCGATTAATTCCCCTGGGGAATTAATATTTCAACCAATCCGTGGGATGGGGAATTCGAGGAGGAGAATTATTCGAGCATTTGAACGTGCAGTAGGGTAATTAAAAGTAGGGAATTATTTTTTCAACCCATCCCTGGCATGGGGAATTAATAGAGTGTGGGTAATTAATCGAGTAAATACGGTAATAAAATATCATGATTAAATTTAAAATTCAATTTTTAAAGGAGTCAAAAACAATTGCAAATGATGACTATTGTATTGTTAACTGGGGTTGTCTTTTTCTCAACTATGATATACTTTCTTGAGGTATCTGAAGATTAAATTTGAACATAAAATTTCCTTAAAAAAATTATTTTAATTAAATAATTAATTGTAGAAAGACGAGAAAGGTTCACCCTTCACCAGCATTCCAGCTGCTTATTGGTGAAATAATTTTAATATTTAAATTATTTTAAATATAGGTGGTGTATTGTTACAATGACTACTGTTGGGTATGGAGATGTTGTGCCGGCAACTACAAGTAATTATAAAGAGGGATAAATTTGTTAAATTTAATAAATTAAAAAAAAATTTTTTAATTTTTAAATAAAATAATTTTTAGTGGGTAAAATAATTGCTTCTGCCGCTATAATGAGTGGAGTGCTTGTATTAGGTCAGTAAATTCAAGATTATCAATTATGTATAATTATAATTATTTTATTTCCTGAAATTCATTAACAAATAAGTTCCGAGAATTACTAGTTTTACTTTGAGGAAAAATAAAAATTCTGAGTTATTAATTAACGGAAGAATATCGAATTTTAGTTATTTTCCAAGAAAAATTTTAATTTTTGATTAATATATGTATTTACGGAGAATTATAAATTCAGATAAAATATTTGGCCCTATCCCAAAAAGGGCGGAATCGTTTTTTCATTACTTGCAAGGAAAGGAAAAATGAAGAAAATGGAAAAAGTGAGACGGATTGACACGGGCAAACAAAACACGGATGGACACGGAGTCCGCGTTTTGCCTGTTCGAGTCCGTCCGTGCCAATTTTTCCTTTCCTTGCAGGTAATGAAAAAAACGATTCCGCCCTTCTTTTGGGATAGAGTCAAATATTTTCCTGAAATAAATATTCCCAAAAAATAATTCAAATTTAATTTACAGCTTTACCCATCACAATTATTGTCGATAATTTTATCAAAGTAGCTCAAGAGGAACAACAAACAGAACAATTCAAAGCAGAATTATTAGCTATGGAGGAACAGGAAAGACAATTACAACAAGAGCAAGAACAAAGAAGATTAAAATTTAATCAATCACAAAAAGAAATTTTAATAAATAATAGGGAAGAAAATAGAGGGAATAATGAAGATAACCAATTAATTAGTGGAAAACAACCCTTAATTTTTGTATCAAATGCTTAAGAAAATTAATTTAGAATTTAACTAATATTGATAAATTTTTGTGTTATTGTCTCGTTAATTAGTCTGGAATGAGTTCTGTTACGACCGGAAATGTCCGAGATTTCACTGATGTTGACGTGCACAAGAATAACAATTTATCCGGTGTAGAAATAAACAATGTGTAGGCGAAGGGAATGGGACAGACGAAGGAGATCAGTGACTAGCCCCGCTAGTATGATCCAACTAGACTGACGCTTTCACTGGTTTTCTTTGACCATTTTAAAAAGTAAGGGCTCTATTACACAATATACGTCCATCAACTTTTATACCTACGTACATTAAAAATTTATGCGTCGAATCAATGTTTATATTAATTAATTTAATTTAATTATTCAATTGTTTCCAGGCTAGTTTAATTAAATCCACGTAATCTTTTTTGACACTTTTTAAAAAAAGCAAATTTTAAATTTTGAGTTAATATATTTAAAGCTATATAAACATAAAAAGCTTTAAATTAAAATAAAATAAGGAAGTCTATAAAAATTTAAAAAACTGTTCATCTAAATTAAAAAAATAAAATTCAAAAAAAATAAAAAGGAAACCTAGACAAACTTTAAAAATAATTTTTAAATAAATTAAAAAACAAAATTAAAAAAATTAGACAGGATTAAAAATTAAAAATCAAAAAAATATATTTGCTTAGCTTAAAATAAATTTATTATTTAAATCTCTTCTTTAATTCAATTAAAATAAAAATTTAATATTTCTTTTAGAAAAAATTAAATTTAAAATAAAATGTCTATTAAATTTAATTATTTATTTTTATATTTTATTTTATTATTTATTCAAATTAATTCTCTTAACCTTCAGCTTGTTCAGCCTTGTAGCAATGAACGTCATTCAGTGTATATTTTAATAAAAATTAATTTTTATATTTTAAAAAAAAATTTTTTAGAATGTGTAGATATGATGATTGCTGTTTTGATCATAAAAATGAACCTTATTGTTGTAATTCTGGGAAAAAATAATTTTAATTATAAAAAGAATTAAATAAAAAATAAATAAAAATAATTTGAAGAATAATGAATTTAATTTAAAAATAAATAAATTGGAATTTTTTTTAATATAACAATAATGGGTTTAACCGAAATAAAGATATGTAATTTACACTCTTTTTTAATTTTAACATTTTTAATAAAAAAAATGAATAAATATCTATTTTTAATTTATTTAATATTTTTTAGAAAAATATTTTTAGTTATATATTTTATTTCTAAAAATAATATTTTTAATTTTAAACTTGTCAAAGTTATTATTTAAGAGCTGAATATTACAGCGGTATCAAATAATTAATAAAAAGTGAAAATTATTATTTTTTTATTTTTTTAATAGGGTTGCACAAAACCGTTTAGCTAAACGGTATACGGTAAACGGGTTTTTTGGTAAAATTAAACGGAACGGTAAACGGGTCTCAGATAAACGGCATAAACGGTATACGGTCCTTCTAAACGGCGTTTATTTCGTTTAATTTTTCCTGAAATTAGTCAGTTAAAACGTGAATTTTTGTCTTCTAACCACTAAAATCAAAAAATTCTTGCCTGCGGCGCTGGAAATGGAAGAAAACTGGCTTCTTGACCTTCCAAAATTCTCAAAATTTTTGCCTGCGGCGCAGGAAATGGGTTAAATCTGGCTTCTTATCCTTCCAAAATCTACGAAATTTTCGCCTGCGGCGCTGAAAAAGGAAGTAGGATTAATTGAAAAATTAATAAAACCAAATTTAAATCGAATAAGTACAATCTCCCTATATCTGCGAATATTAGTTTTCACCGGAATCGAAATTGTACCGGAACCGGATCCAATTTAAGTTCCGGATCCCGAAACTGGAACTTTTTTTGATCTCTCTATATATTAGAGTACGTCCGTGTCGATCGAGTTCGAGTTCATTCCAAAATTTTTGCACCGGCGCAAAAAGGAGGATTTTTGGCTTAAGGATCATCCAGTATTTTCAGTTTTCGCCTGCGGTGCAAAAAAAGGAGGGAAAGAATGGACGGATCTATGGTCCACCATTCGACGATATACCTAATCCGACAAAATCCAATTAATTCCCCGAATTGTATAGATTTTGCTATTAATACACCCAAATCTCACTATAATCAGCCCAAATCCCGCTTAATCCCTTGATATCCATCTCATTCCTCGGTTATTGCTCGATATATTGTTAAATTATAATTTGTAATAGAGGTGGGTGAGTAAAATTATTACTTTTTTATTGATTTTTTTGAATTATGAATTGTTTTTAAAAAATTCTAAAAATAAACGGTAAACGGGCGTTTAAACGGGGTCTTCAAAAATAAACGAAACGGTATACGGGTCTCAGATAAACGGCATAAACGGTATACGGTTTTTTCAAAATTAAACGGTTTTGTGCAACCCTATTTTTTAATTTTGATTTTTATTAATTGAAATAATAAAAAATATTATTTTAATTTTTTATTAAGTTTAAAATTAAATAAAAATATTAGAGAAAAAAAATTAATTAAATATGAGGAGATTTAAAATTAGAAGAAAAATCGGAAATCGGTAATAATTAATAATTTTTTGCAAAATAATAAATAAAAGGAAAGAGCATTTAATAAAATTAATTAAAAGGTTAAACGAGTGGGAGTAAAATATAAAAAAAATTTAAATAAATAAAACAATGGAAAGGCGCCGGAAGTAGGTAGCAGGGAGGTAGTAGCAAGGAGAGAGATAGGCGCCGGAAGTAGTAGCAGGGAGAAAAAAAATTTTTTCTCAAAAAATTTAATTCGGGAAATTTTTAAATTAAATTAATTAAAGTCTCGAGAATTATTTATTTAAATTATTTTAATTAAATTTTAATTAAATAATTTTGGGGTCACTTTAGTACGTGGGTCCCGGAGTTAATATACAAATGTTATAACATTCGAAAGAGCTCCTCGAGCTGAGTCGAATGACACAAGTTTTAGCCCGAGGAAAAATTTTTGGACCGAGATATAGGTCCCCGAAATTTGAAAAAGCATAGGGGGGACCAAGCACTTTTTTGGGGTGAAAAATTCGAAAATGCAAATGATACCTCATTCGAAAGAGCTCCTCGAGCTGAGTCGAATGACACCAAAATCAACGAAATCCGACTTGATTGGACCGAGATATAGGCCTCTGAAAACTGTTAATCCAAAGGGTTGATTTTTGGAATTAAAAATTTTTTAACCATATTATATCTCATTTGAAAGAGCTCGACAAGCTGAGTCGAATGACACCAAAATCACCGTGATTGAATATGATTAGACAAAGTTACGATAGAAAAACTAAAACCTAAACCTATGGGGCGTCGGCGAGGCGCTTGTGCAAAACCCCGCGCTTCGCGCGGGGTTTTGCGGCACGCGCCTCGCGGGGAGTCTACGGGCGATGGGTCTGGGCTCGTAACATAAACCTATTGCTATCTCCCTTGCTCTGGACGTATTTGGGGTCTCCGTAGCAGCAAAAATCTCCGCAGATGCCATAGGTAAGGAGCTAAAATAAAAAATCATAACTTTGTCCATTCAAGTCGGATTTCGTTGATTTTGGTGTCATTCGACTCAGCTCGAGGAGCTCTTTCGAATGGTATAACATTTGTATATTAACTCCGGGACCCACGTACTAAAGTACAGCCATAAAAAATATCTTTTTAATTTTCTAATATTTTTTATAAAAATTTTTTTTCGAGGTTTAAAAAATTAATTTAATCAAGTCTCGAGTCGTTAAAATAAAAACGGAAATGCCAATTTAAAAAATTTTTTAATAATTTAAAAATGTGTGGGCGGGCTTAAGGGGAAACGCAAGGGCAGGGCTTCTTGCAAGGCTTCTTGCGCATGATAGAAAATTAAAAAAAAAATTTTTTTAATTTCCAAAAATTTTAATATAAAATAAGCTTCAAAATTAGTTAATTTAAAAATTAAATTCATTCAAAAATTAAATTTAAAAAATGTTTAAATTAATTAAATTAAAACTTTTATTTATTTTTATTTTATTTATTTGTTTAATTAAACATTTAAATGCTGCATTTACCGATGAAGACTATTTAGATTATTCTTATGATTATGGAAATAAATCTATTGGAGACCGATATAAAATATTATATAAAGATTCTAATAAAATGTTTGATATGTATGATAAACAAACTCAAATCTTTAAAAGGCCATTAAATGTAAAAAATTTTTTCAATGTCATTCACCTACATAAGCACCCCCATTTTAATTCACCCCCATTTTCCGTTGGTTTTGGGTTTCGAGATCACGATGATAGGAAGATCCTAGAATTTTTTTCAAAATTTTTTATATTGATTTGTCCATAAAAACTAATTACAAAAATTTTCCCTATTTAAATTTCCGCGCACATTATAAGTCAACATTGATAAATGATTTTTTTCAGCGTAAGTGTAAAGTTTTAGTTTAATGATTTTTAGTCATTTGATAGCTTATAAATAAAGCTACAAAACTATATAAATTTATAACCCAAGATAAATGATTAGCCGGATAATTTTTAGAAATAAAATTAAAAATATTTTTCCCTATTTAAATTTCCGCCACTGTAAGCCAAAATTATTTAACAAATTATTATCTTTTTAAAAAAATTTTTTTTATTTGAATTACAGGATAAAGAACTTCTTGTTAGAGCTATGAAATCAACTGGAATTAGAGGTAATCATCGACAACTTAGAGATGCTATAAGATCAATGAATACTGATCAAGCATCTAATTATATACAAACTTATTTTCAAAGTGTATATTCTGAAATGGAACATATTAAAGAAATAATAAATACAAATTTTGATGTAAATTTTTTAGTTAAATTTTTAGATAAGAAAAAAATTAAAATAATAATTTAATAAAGTAAAATGGGATCCCAGGTGGGGGGGATGTGTTCTTTCTCCTTAATTATTTATACTCTGCGCCGAAGCGGCTGAACCATACCCAGATGTTAAGGGATATTGTAACGGGGAAGGATGTGATCGGGACATTCCTAGAAGCTCCTTAAGGTTGATCAGGTCATTCGGATTCTTCCCAACACCGAAACACCCCGAAGTAATAATTACCTAATTACAAACTGAACTAACTGTAAGTAAGAACAAAGGAATTAAGTAGTTGTAAAGTGGGAGGGATAAATTGCTTGTCACATAGAAAATATTGGAAATAAAATTGGACATTGAACCTGGATACAAAATATATAATTAACCCAGTATTACCTTCGGTATTCGATTCTGTCTCAATAAAAAATTATTTCAATAATGGGAAGGGTGAAGGATTGTGGTAAATAGAATTGTTTTTAATTTTACCCCGTAGCAAGGAATTCCCCAAAAATACAGCGGGGTAATGATAAACTACATAAATTCCTTTAAATCTTTTTGAAATAAAAAATTTTTCTTTAAGAAAATGGCACGTGAAACTATTATTAATGATATTATTAAAAATAGTTTTGTTTATAAAAATAAAGATCAAATTCCTAAAGACAAAAAATTATGTTTCTGTGAAGCAGAAAATAAAATTGGTCAACAAATTATTAAGCTTAATTGTGGACATTATCTTCATCAAGTTTGTTTAATTAAATGGGTAAATAAAAATCAAGATAGTACAAAAAATTTAAATAGTTTTAAATGTCCATTTTGTCGAAATACTTTAAATTTTGAAAAAGGAGAAAGTAGTGGAAATAATCCATAATTCTAATGATGATTATGAACAATTAAATTATAGTATGGATGATTTGAGTTTTTATTGAAAAAATTTTTTATTTGAAATGATTTCCTCTACCCTAGAGACGTGCGAGACTCTTTCTTGGACTTTTTTCCGAGAATTTTCTTGGGTTTTTCGGTAATGGTTTTGGGGTGTAGGCTTGGGTCTTGGTCTTGGGGTGTAGTCTTGGGTCTTGGTCTTGGGGTGTAGTCTTGGGTCTTGGAAAATTTTCGGTCTCGCACGTCTCTACTCTGCCTCATGACTTGAAAAAACAGCAAGATTAAATTGATTTTTTAATTTTTTTTTTAAATTTTTTTTTATTATTATAAGTTCAAAATTTCCAAAATTCCGGATCCGGTTTCAGGATTTCAATAGAAATTTCCGGATCAAAATCTACAAAATCCAGAAAAGCCGGGTTCTATCAAAAAATCCGGATACAACCGGATCAGGTCCTGGTTCACCTCTAATTATAATCCTCCCAAAACCTAAAGGTTATTGATTTATTATTTTATTATTTTATTTTATTATTTTTTTCGAATTTTATATCTATTTTTTTTCATTCTTCATCAATTTATTTTAACATTTTTCACCTAATTCTTAACCAAATATAACAAACATTAAAATAAATTTTCTCAAATTTATTTTTCTGATTTAACCAATTTTAAATTAACATCCCTAATTTTTTCAAAAATTAAAAAAAATTTTTTTAAATTATTCTTCATTTTATGTTTTGGATTATAGAAATTATTTAAAAATTTGTTTATTATTTTTTTTTAATTTTCGATATAGAGATATCTCGACCGAGATATCTCGATCATTCTTTATATTTTTTGAGGTATTTGGCTTTTTTAAAAACAATTTAAAATTATAGACATTTTCTTGTTTAAAATTTTATTATAATTTAATTTTAAAAAATTGAAATAGATCATTTAAAAAATTAAACAAGAAAATAGTCTGCCTCTTCTTTTATATTTTTACAAATGAGCGGGGTTTTTTGATCATTATATTCCCTTGTTTTTGTTAGCGGAATATAATGATTAATTTATTTAAATTTTTATAATGATCAAAAAAATTTCTTGTATATTTTATTCTCAATTCAGTGACATTTATAATTCCAAAAAAAAATTAAAAAAAAATTTAAAAAATACAAAAAATACTTTCACTTTAATTTTATTTTTTTGTTTAAAATTATTTCTTAAATTATTTTATCTTTCATTTGTAAGCATTTTTTAAAAGATAAAAATTTTTTTCGGGAATTTATTATTTTTTAATTAATTTAAACAATTGAAGCATATTAGAATAATTATTTTAATAATTAATTTTTTAAATAAATATATTAGGCTTAATTTAAAATTCAAAATATTATTCTTAGAAATAAAATATAACTATCACCTTTTGAGAGTCGTCTAGGTACCAACGAGGTACCTAGACTACAACCTCGCTTTTCTCATATAGATCTTAAATCCATATCTAAAATACTACCAAATGATCTTCCAATATATTTTCTTGAATATATTGGAAGATAAATATTTAATTTCAATATTTTTATAAAGTAAAGAGCATTCCTCCTCAACAAAAATCAGTGCCTTCCTCTACAAATGTTGCTTTTGGTAGAGAAATAACAAATCTTAAATCCATATCTGAATACCTATTCGAATTACCCTAAAATTAAGCTTACTCCCCCCTATGGTTTTTGACCATTTCGAGCCCAATATTTTGGTTCAAAAGCATCTCCGGGTAAAAAGAGTTGTATTGGTGACTCAGCACCTTTTTTTTACCAAATGAATAATATCAAATAAAATCAGGAAAAAAAGAAATTAATTTTGACTATTTTTTGTTTTTTAATTTTTTGTACTATATTTTTAATTATTTTTTTGGATATTAATTAAAAAATAAAAAAAATTATTTTTATATTTTAAATTAAATAACAAATTATTTTTGAAGAGATAAACAGTCAAAAACGACAAAATAATTAATCTGTTTCAAGAAAAAAATACTTCCTTCATATTTATGTTCTAATTGTATTTTTTCCATCCTAAAATAAATCGTCTCTATTTCTAAAAGTTTTTAAAATTTAAAAAAAAATTTCAATAAAACTTTATTTGTTGTTGACATTTTAATCTAATTTCAAATATTTGTACAAGATTTTGCCACATTTGTGTTTGTTCAAATTCTTTAGTTAATGAAGCAATTTGTTGATTACATTCTTCTTTTTGTTTCTAAATTTTTAAAAATTTTAAATTGTCCAAAGGGATATAAAGTGCGTTGCAAAATTATAAGTCCACCCCAATTTTTTCTGTTTCTCTGGCCTTAACTTCTATTCTTTTTGAAGTTCGGCCTTTTTGGATCGTGCCTAGCAATAGGAAAGGGAAAATAAAAAAATTAAGAAAAAATCAGAAAGAGAAAAAATCTTAGTGAAAAAAATTGAAAAAAGTGGTGTTGCAAAATTATAAGTCCACTTTGAAATTTGCTTGGAACTTGTTTGGAAACTATTCTAAAAATTTTGAAAAATTCCAGTGAACATAACTTTTAAAATAAAGAATATTTATCCAAGAAACGAGCTCCTTATCCCTTTCCAACTTCAAGATATGAAAACCCCAAAATTGTAGTCTTATGCTTTCTAGCAAAGCGGCGCTTATGCTAGAAAAACTGCTGGCCAAAAATAGCCTAAAAAAGCACTATTTTTGCACTAATATTTTTCTAGCATAAGCGCCGCCACGGATAAATTTTTTAGAAGGATGGTTCTTTTTATGTCTTATAGCAAATTTTATTGGCTATCTGTCGGATATGAAAGAAAATTTTTAAGTCTGCCCTAAGGGGTCGAAAATATTTTTTGAAGTGCTCGACCCCTGTTTCCCGTTGATTTTGGGGTTTTCATATCTTGAAGTTGGAAAGGGATAAGGAGCTCGTTTCTTGGATAAATATTCTTTATTTTAAAAGTTATGTTCACTGGAATTTTTCAAAATTTTTAGAATAGTTTCCAAACAAGTTCCAAGCAAATTTCAAAGTGGACTTATAATTTTGCAACACCACTTTTTTCAATTTTTTTCACTAAGATTTTTTCTCTTTCTGATTTTTTCTTAATTTTTTTTTATTTTCCCTTTCCTATTGCTAGGCACGATCCAAAAAGGCCGAACTTCAAAAAGAATAGAAGTTAAGGCCAGAGAAACAGAAAAAATTGGGGTGGACTTATAATTTTGCAACGCACTTTATAGTAGGAAAAAAATATTTGAGAAATTTTGTGCTTTTTCATGAATAGCCGCGTTATAGTCATAAAAAATTTTTTTGGAATGCAAATAGAATTAAAAGTACCTCCAAAGTATGATAAGCACATTCAACCTTTAAATTAAAAAAATATTTTTTTAATTAAACGTTCCTTTCCACCTGTTCAGAATTTCCACTATTTTCACTTAACCATTTTTGTTTTTGCAAATTAGTATTTGTATTTTCTAATTCTGATTGAATTTCTTTTATTTTTTGTTCTAAATTAATTGTTTTCTTAATTTTAATTTTTCTTTTAAGATTTTTTCTAAAAATACCGTTTCATTTAATTCAGTTTCTCGTTTAAATTTTTCTTGTTAATTATCAAGTTCTGCTTTTAATGTCTGGCATCCCTCCCTACCATGTATATGCTCAATTCCCTGATATCCTTCTAATCTGAGGGCAAAAATTGAAAGAAATCGGTCTTGTGACTTTCCACAATTTTCAAAATTTTCGCCTGCGGCGCATAAAATGCATAAAATGGAAGAAATCTGGCACTCGTCCTTCCTAAATTCTCAAAATTTTCGCCTGCGGCGCTAAAAGTTGAGTATTTAATTACCAAGTTTCCATAATGGAACGGCTCAAAAAAATATCGGTTCAGTATATGGAGCTCAGATCTCCCGTTATCCCTCCAAATCCCCTGATATCCCCGTATCAATCCATAACTACTGATAGCCCTTTATCCTTTGCTATCTCCCCAACTCATCCGACATCCCCATTGTATCCTTTTTAAATCTCCTTGATCCCTCTAAATCCTAATCTCTAAAACATTACCCATACAACTTACATGTATCACAAAATCGAGTAGGATACGCTAACTTAAAGTAATACTTCAATTTTTAACTGAAAAATGACTAATACTTGTTTAAAAAAATTTTTTCCCATATTTTTGCGCTCTTGCGTTATTTGCGTTAAATTTTGGCCGTGCGTTTTGCGTTTTTTGAGATTGTCTCTTGCGCTCATCCCTGCTGTACATATTATAAAGAAAAATTAAATAATTTTAATTGTAAAAGTCAAAAAGTAAATTGTATTTTTAAAATTTATTTCCGCCTTTATAGCGCGAGTCAAAAAATGAAAAATTATAAAAATAATAATAAAGTCAAAACAAATAATCATAATAATGAAGTAAATAATACTAAGGTCCAACAAGAATCGAATCAAAAGGTTCACCTGGAAAACGAGAAAGCTAGTTGGGATGGGGGGGGAGGGGGAGAGGGTAGGTGGTGGAGAGATGGTAGGTGGTGTGGAGAATGTATGTGGTGGGGAGAGGGTAGGTGGTGGAGAGAGGGTAGGTGGTGGGGAGAGGTATGTGGTGGAGAGAGGGTAGGTGGTGGGGAGAGGTATGTGGTGGAGAGAGGGTAGGTGGTGGAGAGAGGGAGTGAGATGAAAAAGTAGGTGTCAGGAAAATCAGGAAAATTCCAACTTTTCGGAAAATTGGGCTCCAGCGGAAATTTGGGCTCTTCGTGAAAAAAGCGGAATATTGGGCTCTAAAATTTTGGGCTCCAGAGGAATTTTGGGCTCTATGGAAAAAAGTCAAATTATGCAAAAAAAGAGATGTTTATATGGGGCACACGCTGATGTACCGCATCCGTTGGTGGAACAACATCTCCCATTGATGGAACAACATCCCCCGTTGACGGAACAACTTCCCCCGTTGACGGAACAACATCCCCCGTTGACGGAACAACATCCCCCGTTGACCCCCGTCATTCTAACGACATCCCCCGTTGACGGAACACTTCCCCCGTTACCCCGTCATTCTAACAACATCCCCCGTTGACGGAACAACTTCCCCCGTTAACGGAACAACATCCCCCGTTGTCGGAACAACTTCCCACGTTGACGGAACAACATCCCCCGTTGACCCCCGTCATTCTAACAACATCCCCCATTGACGGAACAACATCCCCCGTTGACCCCCGTCATACTAACAACGTCCCCCATTGACATTGCATAATTTGACTTTTTTCCCCCAATTTTCCGAAAAATCTTGGAGCCCAATTTTCCAGAGCCCAATTTTCCGGCACTCAAAAAGTACCCCATCCTCCCTATTTGAGTCTAGGTAATTTTCATTTATTCTTTTCTGCCTCGGAATGGTCAAATTTGCTTATTTATAAATGTTTATTTTGCCGTTAGATTGATTTAAACCGCTGTTTTTTTGACAATTTTTTACTTATGCCTGAGGGAAATAAACGAATGACAAAAAACAAAATCAATTTGAACTCAAATAGAGGGGGCAGGATTTTACAAAGTACCGAAAAGCCCAGAGACACAAACCGCTGCTTTTTTGAGGATTCCAAATGAACCTTTTGATTCAATTTTAAATTTTTAAATAAACAAAAAAATCCAAAAAAAACATGTCCATAATATTTTTAATTTTTATTAACCTCATCCTGTCATTCAAATAAATTTTTTATTTCTACTTCAGCTCTTAGAATATCTGCACTTGGTGACGTGGAGTCGGCCTAAATACAAATAAAAATAAATGAACAAATATATTTGATTCACGAATATCGCCGAATTGACATAAGTCTTATATTCAGCAAATACATATGTATGGACTACCGCTCATTAAACAAAAAATTTTTTTGTGTATAAACTGTGAAATAACCGAAAAACCATAAAAGTGCTCAAAAGGCTGAATGAATTAAGATGTTTTTGCAAACCATTTGATTTTCCCGCGCGGGTTCGAATCCGAGACCCAAAATTTTCAATTTTAAGGGCACATTATAATCAAGAACTCGTCAAGATAAGTTGAATGACACACCAATGTCAGCCTTTACATCAGGCCTACGCGGTTTTTTCCACCGTATGGAAGTTGAGGATGTCAAGAGGAATGACGTCCTCCACTTCGCTACCGTTGCCACGAACGAAACGAGGACCGCAAGGAGTTTCTCCAGCGAAAATTCAATTGATCATAACTTTGTTCAGAATTATCAAACCCAGCTGATAATTTGACCATAAAAAAGTTTGGGTCGTGGGTTCGAAACCACGCGGTAAGATATATTTTTCAATCTCAAAAAACACCTTAATTGCACCTTTTGAGCAATTTTATGGTGTTTTTCAGTTATTTCACATTTTGCTATTAACAAAAATATAATTTTCAATGTATTATTAAGCAAAAGTCACACCCATAAGGGAGTTATTAGTTTTATAATACATACCTAGTTTTTTTAATTTTAATACTTAAATTTAATTTTATACTTACCTCTATGACAACATGCATTTCACTTCCTTCACGTCGTACATGGATTTTGCATCCAGTTGTGCGCTCCAGGTGTTTATGTAAATACCATTGTTGGAGCCCTATTCGTTCATAAAATACCTAAATTTTAGATTAATTAAAATTTATATTACATATTATAAGATTATTACCTCCTGACGTTCCTTAGGAACAACAAGCTTTATTTCTCGATTACTTTTCATTAATGGTGTAGGTCTGGTTTGATTAATCTTGAATAATGGAGGTCGTCCGTAGGTTGAATGTGTCTAACTGAAATGTAGTTCTTAAAATTTTGGTACTACTCCGTCATCCTACAAATTTCTTTCCAGAATAGAAAGGTCCACACCATCTGGTCAACTCCCAGTGTTCGTACTATAGGAATGAGGGGACGGAATTTTAAGTTACTCCCAATGCAGAAAACGCCCAGACAGATTTTGGAAAATTTAGGTACTTCTCGGTATCGATTCTTTTCGCTACTTCCGGTACCGGTACCGAAAAATTCCAGTTGCCGGTTTAAAAAATAAACAAGATTGCTCGCACCAAAATAACCTAAAGCTGTTGAAAATTCATATTTTTCTTTTTGGACGAAGTTTTGGTCATATGACGTTTTGTTCGAACGAAGTATTTGTAAGACGGTTTTGTCTGACAGAGTTTTATCGGTAGAAGTTTTGTCCGTTTGAAGTTACCCCTGACACGAGAAGGTGATAGGATGGTCCTACCTACGCCAAATTTCCCGTATAAAACAAAAAGAGTGGAGAGCTGCTTGCGCCAAGAAAAGGAGGAAGAAATAAAAAAGGTATACGGTAGAGTTGCTGGCTAAACATTTTACATGCTATAGAGCAGTAGGTGGTTAACTTCAAATATTCGGGCGGAAAAGAAGGGAGTTGACCAGATTCGTTGAACCCTACCCTAAGTATCACGAGTTTTGCGCCGAGAACATTTGCGCCGCGGCTTTTGCGCCGGGTGACTTATGCGCCGCGACATTTTTGCCGCCATTATTTTAAAGAATAAAATAATAACTACAATTGCACCCCGTGTGGGAAATGTCCATCTCGCTGTCTACATCTCCGCAAAAGGCATTTCTGCGAAAAGCATTTTCTGCATTTTACTCCTTTGCCTCTCTTGATTGATGACAGGTTGAATGATGGGTGATAGTTTGGCGTAAATTCTGTTTATTATGTAAAATTAATTATGAAAAAAGAGAGCTTTTATTTACAACTTTGAAAATCAATTTTTAAATTTATTGTAAACATGAAATGGTTCTTTTTTTTAAAGGAATTCAAAATAATCTTCGGTTCGAGTTTCGGGTCGAAAAGTGTCCATTTTTCGGGATTTTGTCTTGTCATTTCCTCTGATATCCACCTTAATCCCTATAAATCTTTTAATATTCCCGATTTGGTGGTTAGGAAGGATAACGGAGTTAGTAAAGTTATCACAAAATCCAGACACTCCTTTCTTTTTCCATATTTTTTTACATAATAAACAGAATTTGCGCCAAACCGTAACCCATCATCCAACCTGTCACTAATCAGGAGAGGAAAAGGAGAAAAATGCAGAAATGCTTTTCGCAGAAATGCCTTTTGCGACATGTAAACAGCGAGCTGGACATTTACCCCCGTGGGTTTAGAAAATTGCATCCAGGAACTGAAGTAAGTTCAGAAAGTACATAAAATAGATGTCCAGTAGCTGATGAATTAAATAAGGAGTAAGCGGAAATATCCGAATATATATACCAGACCACCAAATAAATTAAAAATACATGGGATCAGATACCCCAAATGATTTCTGATTTGCTGACTTTTTCGGATCAGGATATTTGAATCTGCTGACCCTATTCCGGCATGATTTTCTGCCCAAGTGAGGCAGAAAAAAGATCCGACAACCCCACTATAGTATATGGTTGTTGGATCCGGGTATCCGAAGATTTCCAACTATTCTACAACCCTACTATAGTGAGGTCTGGCTGTAGTTATTCATATATTTCTAATGATAGTGACGGCGCTAGCTTAAGTCGGCACATAGGTCGCGGTGCAAATGTTCACGGCCGCAAAAGTCACGGAAACGATCCCAAAAAATGATATATTAAACCTGAGGAAAAATTTCGATACAAAATACATAGCGCGATCCGCTTCACCGAACTGAGTGGATGTTGCATATACGAATTTTCACCCTAAAATTTGGCTTCCCATATATAGGTTTTCGAGGATCTCGATTCACTGGTATTTCCGTAGAGTGGTATCGTTAGACCCATCTCGCTTTGACAAATCGATGGTATGTGTTTGTATCGAAATTTTGTCTCCGGTATACCATTTTACAGACAAAAAATTTTTTTAAAAATACCTTTCCACGTTTTAATTTCTCCATTTCATTGTTTAATTCCATATTTTTTCGTTTCAATGAAGAATTAGTTTCCGTCAACTATAAAAAAATATTTTTTTAAAAATAAAAATTGAAATGATTTAAGGAGAAACTGATCTTTGAGAGCTTAGTGATTTATTCTATCCACTAGTGATGTTCGAGAGTCGGCGAAAATTTTGAGAATTTTGGAGACTTTTCTTTTAAAAATTTAGTATCAAGTACGCAATGTCCGAGTAAAGTTCAAAAAATTTCCGTCATTAAGTGTGTAAATTTAGTCTCATTTTCCGAGACCAAAACACCGAGACCGAGAGCTCAAAAAACCCATGAAATTTCTCAACTCGAGTCTCGAACATCACTATATCTACTATGTGTATTTATTTGGTTAAAATCAAATTTTATATTAAATTTATATTTAAAAAATAAAATACCGTTTTATTTTGTTCTTCCAATAATAGTAATTTTTGCACATCTTTTGAATTACGTTCAAGCTAAAAAATACAAAGTTTAACCTTAAACGTTTAGAGTTTAACCTCGGCAAATTTTGTTTGCAAATTTTCATTCAAAATAATTAATTCCTCAACTTTTTTCTTCTCTTCACTTAATTCTTTTTCTTTAATTTTAATAAAATCAAGAACACATTTCTTGTCTGCTTCAAGCTCAGCAACTTTATTTTTAATGTCCTAAATAAAAATATATGTAAATTGACATAACTTTAGAAAAAAGGAGAAGGATGGGGACGACCTTAATTTCTAAGCTGCGGCTGTACTTTAGCCGGTGGCCCACTAGAAACGCGTCAAATTACATACACTCTGTAACAAAATGATAGCGCCACCTAGTTTTTATCGATATCCTACCAAATATTAAATGGATCTGTTTCAAATTTTAATAGAATATAGATAAGGATATTATGTATCAATAATGGAAATAAAAAGTTTAATGCAGATTTAAAAAAAAATTTTATAACAATAAATTTGATTTTAGAGTGTAACAAAAAGATAGCGCCACTTGTATTTTTGACCTTAGGGGTTGTCCGAAAAATCTAAAAAATTCCAGTATACATATCTATTAATATCTATACTAAACACAAAAGAAACTAAGTTCCTATATGATTCCTTCATTGAGATCTTGAAACCCGAAAATCAACGGAAAACCGGGGTAGACGTCTTTAAAAAATATTTTCGACCCCTTACACGTGAAATAAAAATTTTATTTTCGGCTCATTTGAAAGCCCTTGAAATTTGCACAAGATAGCATCAATTTTATTTACTGAAAAAAATTTACCTTTAAAACATAATGTGATAAACTTTCATGTCATAAAAATCACTCAAACGCCCCCAAAAAGTGATGAAAATGTGACTTATAAACTTAACTCATTATTTCTCAAAAAAGAATTTTTTCTGGGTTATGAGATAAAACTAACTTGTAGCAAATTTCAAGGGCTTTTAAATAAGCCCAAATTGAAATTTTTATTTTACTTGTAAGGGCTCGAAAATATTTTTTAAATACGTCTACCCCCGGGTTTCCGTTGATTTTCGGGTTTCCAGATCTCGATGATGGAAGTACATCAGAACTTCATTTCTTTTCTATTTTCTATACATATCAATGGATATGTTTACAGGGATTTTTGCAGATTTTTCGGATCACCCCTAAGGTCGAAAATACAAGTGGCGCTATCTTTTTGTTACACTCTAAAATCAAATTTATTGTTATAAAATTTTTCAAAAAATTTCAACAAACTTTTTCTTTTCAATATTGATAAATAATATCCTTACCTATATTCAACAAAAATTTGAAACATATCCGTTTCATATTTGGTGAGATATTGATAAAAAACTAGGTGGCGCTATCATTTTGTTACAGAGTGTACTATTCGATTCGTCTCGGCGAGCTGAGTTTCGGATCTTCGATTTTTAGGTGCCTATATTTTGGTACAATCAAGTCGGATTTCGTTATTTTGGTGTCATTCGAATCAGTTCGAGGAGTTATTTCGAATGAGCTATTATTTGCATATTCGAATTTATCACCCCCAAAAATGTGCCTACTCCTCCCAGTGATTTTTCGGTTTTCAAGGACTAGTATCTCGGCTCGTAGGCATTTTAGCAAAAAGTGAGTGGTAACATTCAACTCAGATCGCCGTGACGAATCGAAAGGTATGTAAATTGACCCGTTTCTGAGAGTAAACAAGTACGAGGCCAAAAATAGGCCGGTACGAGATACGAGTAAATCTGAAATTTATAAACCCTGCATGACATTAAATATATTTAAAAATGAAATTGTGCGATAAAAGTACCTTAATTTCCTTTTCACATTTCTTCACATTTTCAACTAATTTAACGTTTTGTTCACATTTTTCAAGTAATTCTTCAGAAATTTCTTCTTGATTATTCTTCAAATTTTCAATTGTAATTTTTGCATTTTCCAATTCTTCTTTTAAATTGTGTGTTTGATCTGATTGATTTTGCTGAAAAATATTAAATTTTAAAAATTTGTATCTCCTCGAATAATTACCCCCACCCCTCAAATAACTACTCACTAGTATATACCCTTAAATGGTAATATAATATAATGTTACCCTTAAATGGTAACATTATATTATAATGCCCGGAAAAATTTCGATATAAGACACAGACTAGGTCAATTAATTTGTTGTTCGAAAGAGCTCGTCGAGCTGAGTCGAATAGCACCAAAATCAACGTGGTTGGACATGTTTTGACAAAGTTATGACATAAAGTAAACCTATGGGAGACCTGTGGGAGTCGATGCTTATGCCATAACTTTGTCAAAACTTGATTAATCACTGTAATTTTAGTGTCATTCGACTCATCTCGATGAGCTCTTTCGAATGACATATCAATCGATTTAATCGGCGTCTGTGTCGCATCCCGATATTTTACCTAATGCCCGTGTACAAAACTATGTTTAATATACAAACACGGTCAATAGTGCATCGAATTAATTAAAAATAACCTCAAAAGAAATAATGATTCCTTCTTGACATCCAGACATTCTAATTAATCAAATCAAAATTTTTAAAATTTAAATAAATCTAAAATGGGTCGGTAAAAATAGCGTAAAAATAAAAAACAAGTAATGTAAGATAAAAACAAAATTAAATAAAAAACGGATTAGTTACAATGAGTTTATTTCCGTATAAAATTTTGAATTAAATGAAGATTTAATAGAACTCGAAAATTAAAAAAATAAAATCTTTCCTTTCAAATCATTCACATAAATATTAAAACTTTTTTAATACAGCAGGTATTATCAACATTTGAATTAGAGCTCGACATTTTCACTTTGCCGGGTTTTCCCCCAAGTTGACCCGGGCCGGGGTTTTCGGGCTAAAACCTCGAAAACCCGGAAAACTCGAAAACCCGGTTTTTTAGACACGGACCCGGTTTTTTCAAAATTTTAAAAATGATCAAATTTTAGCTTTTTCGCTGAAATTTTTCCTATTTTGAATAAAAAATAATTAAAATTTGGTGTCACCTTCATCTATAAGTATTCAAAGGATTTAGAGATATTAATGTGGTGTCTCTACACACTACTGTCTACACATTACTGTCTCTACACACTCTACTCTCTACTGTCTCTACATGTCTCTTATCTTCTACTTCCTTGTCTTCTTCTACTTCCTTATTATCTTCTCTAGTGCACGGAAAATCCGTTCCCGGCTCGGGTCGAGCTCTAATTTAAATACATTTATAAAATATTTATTACATTTATAAAAGGAAAAATTTTGTCCACAAATAAATATTATTGTCCGTAAAAATTTTTTGGACAAAATTTTTCAAAATTTTTTTGCGGACAAAATTTTCTTTCTTAAAAAATAGAAGAAAAATAATTTCAAAAATAAACCGCTTTCCCAGTATATTCCAAAGAAAATAAATAACTACAATCTTCAACTGAATTAATCCAAAGAATTTGAGCAAAATTTCCATTAAACAGAATAAAGAAAAAATCAAAAAGTTGTTGGCCAATTGAAAAAACTGGAAAAAAATTTTTAAATATTATTTTGAAGAAAATCCGCAAAAAAATTTGTCCACAAAACTCAAATCCGCAAATACTGTCCGCAAATTTTTGTAGATGAAATTTTTAACTCCAACTCTGATTGCCAAATTTCATGTACTTGATGTACATTAGGCATAAAAATTATTTTTTAAATCCGCAAAGATTGTCCGCAAGTTTTGCGGACAAAAATTTTTCAAAATTTTTAAATTTAAAATTAAAAAAAATTTAAGGTTTAATAAACCTTTTAAAATAATTGAAGAATTTTGTGAACAAACAGCAACAAGTTCAACCTTTTGAGAATAGATAAAAAGATCTGGCCGAAATTCTTTGTCATCAATTAGCAATTGAAGTCCATTGACTTCTAAAGTTCATTGAATTTTTTGTGATCAAAACATAATTGATGGCCAGAAAATTGTCTAAAAAAATAAATATTAAAAAAGGACAAGATTAGATCGATAGTTTTGCGGAAGATTATTTGCGGACGAAACTTTTTGTCATAAATCCGCAAGTTTTTGCGGAAAAAGTTTTTGCGGACTGCTAAAAAGCTAAAAATTTGCGGACAATTTTACACTCATTTTTGAGGAAAATAAGAATATTTCAAAAAAATCCAGAAAAAATGTCCGCAAATTATTTTATAAAAGCCGCAAAAAATTTCAGTCGTAAATTATATTTATCATTCCTTATATTTTACAGGCTTTAAAAAAATTTTTAAATATAAACCTTAACTCGTCCAGAGCAAACAACATTGAGGAAGCATTCGAATCTTTACTTTTTGTTACAACAAATGCATTTAGGTTCAAGCCAAATTCAAAAAGATGCCTTGGTTCAAAACTGGAACAATGATCAACTTCAGAAAGAGCAAGACAAACACTAACCAAAGCACCCATTCGAGATGAAATTAACTTAAAAAAAAAAATAAAAAAGTCCGCAAATTTTTTTGCTGACGTCCGCAAAAATTAAATTTTTTAGAGAATACCAAATTAAGAATTCCCGATTGATTTTTAAAAATTGGAAAAATGCTTTGAACACAAAGCGGCCACCTGACAGTGACCACCCTCACACAAAGGGGGGGTGGCCACCTTTGCGGAAACTTTGTGGACTTTATCTTACATAGAAGTACCACTTATTTGTTAGGTAGCTCCCTCACACATTGGCCATCTGACAGTGGCAACCCATAAAAATACTATATTTGCGGACAATTTTTGCGGATGTCCGCAAATTTGTATGACAATTTAAAAATTGGGGGGCTTATAGAGGGTATTATAAAGAGTATTATAAACGAGAGTATTATAAAAAAATTTTATAAAAACCTGTCCATCTCCAAATACACAAATATTCATCAATCCCACCCGTAGAAATCATTTTTTGCTCGTTCAAAAATTTCCAAAGCAAAAGACGTGCACGATGCCCATATTTTCAAAAATCTTAAAATTAAAAAAAAATATTTAAAATAAATTTTAAATAAAACTTGAAGTCCATCCAATGCCCAAACACAAAGTGATCGATCATCCCCAATGCTAAATAGCCAATCTCGATGAAGACGAATAGCAAAAGGCATTCCCTAAAATTTTAATTTTGTCATTTCAAAATTTTGAACGCAAATATTTTGTCGGCAAACGTGATAGCTAGAGTTCCTGCGGACGCTAGAGTTCTTTTATCTCTAACAAATTCGATAAAAGTTCCGCTAGAGTAAATAATTATTTTAAAAAATACCAAAATCCGCATCAGATTCCTCCAACAATAAATCTAATAACCATTTCTTTCTTCATCAACATCTTCTACGTTGTCAAGATTTTCTGTCTTCCTTTTGTTTTTCAGTGTCATCAGCCCAAATATCCTTCAAAAAAATTTTTAATAAAAAATTTAAAGTATGAATTTCTTCAGCCCCAAGGAAATATCTACAGGGAGTACTTGCGGAAAATCCGCAAATTATTTACGGACTTTTTTAGTCGGCAAAAAATTGTCCGCAAATTTTTGCGGATTTTTTATTTTCCGCAAACTCTAACAAAAGTCCGAAAATTTTTTTGCGAATTTATGTATAGTCCGAAACTTCATAATAAAGATCCGCAAAAATTTTTACGGACTTTTGATAAAAATTTTCGAAAGTAATTTGCCGATAAAACTTGTGGACTTTTTAGAAAAATAAAGAAGAAAAAAACCTCCACATACATTAACTGTGAGAAGATCCCTCCTTGCTTTTCCAGGAACGTCTACTTCTAGCTACAGACTAGCAGGACACATTGAAAGTGTACTTGGAATTCTACAAAAATTAAAGAGATTACATTAAAGTTCTAATTAAAACCCTGAGCTTCTATTTCTCAATGGGCCCCTTGGGTGGGATTTTATTGGAGAAGGAGGTTACATTTTTAATGGATCATTTTGAATGAGTTTCTATTAGAGAGGTCGTTTATCTACAAAAGGCCCGCTTATGTAGGGTCCTAATAGAGCCGGCGTCTATCTATTGGAGAGAGGGCGTCTATTAGAGAGAGGGTCTCTCAGACCTTTTAGGCACTTTAAATAATTTAAAACCAAACTTGATTGGCTGATCAATTAAACGTCTCAATTGTTCACAAAATTTAGTCAAGTCCAAAGCTTTTTCCAACTCTCTTAAACCCAGAGGTGGTGCCGCTCTTCCTTTTTCTATTATTGTTGCTGTTGTAAAAATGTTGCTGCTGAGATCAAAATGTTCGTCTAAATTCCACGGACAAGTATTGGTTCATTGTGGTCGCTCTAAATTTAAAAAATTTATATCTAGGATAATGAGCAAACAAATTCTTCGGAAGCTCCGCTATTATAAAAGAGCCCCTTTTTAAAATCCTGGAGTTATTTTACGTGAGAAAATTAAAAATCATGCGGGACCCACCCTCCCCGAGCTTCGGCCGCAACCTTACCTAACACAAGATGAGCTAAGGTAGCAGTGGGCACTCGGACCCGAACCAATCAGAAACCCCTAGAAAAATAAACTAAACAAACCTCCTCACAATTATATCAAAACGGAACTTGCAATCCTTGTATTCACAGAAAAGCGGATCAGGCTGCGAAGAGTTTGTCGTTTTTGAATCAGCAATTGTTTTGCTGTTGGACTTTGTCTTCATTATTGCTAGTCATTTTTTATTTATAAAATCTAAACCGAGTATCTTTAGAAATTAAAAAAATTTTGCGGACTATTTTTGAAGACTATTTTTATTTGAATAATGTCCGCAACAATTTGTAGCAAAAAATTGAACGCAAGTCTGCAAAAAAGGTCCGCAAAAAATATCCGCAAAATCCGTCCGCAAAAAATCTCCACAAAAATTTGTCAGCAAGAAACAACAGATAAAAAATATTAAAAATCGTTTAAATAACGATACCAAAAAACAAAAATATTCTAACTAACATTTATAAATTATTAAATATTTTAAAAATAAAATATCAAAAAAACCTTAAACCCCCAAATCACTCAATAATTCCTCTCTTCCTCAAGTCTTCTTTTGCTTCAGCCACTTCTTTAATTAATTCCTCTCTAGCATTTTTGCAATCATTAAAAGTTGCGACGCCATAAATAACAGTCAACACTGCATAAATTCTAATTAGGGTTGCTCCCCGAGCCTTCGGGGTTGAAAAAGTCGGGGGTCGGGGTTTTCGGGGTTGACAAAGTCGGAGTCGGGGTCGGGGTTGCTCAAATTGTTCGGGGTCGGGGTCGGGGCTATAAATAATGTCGGGGTTCGGGGTCGGGGTCGGGGTTGAAGTCAAAATTTACAAAATCCAGCATTTTTATCCAACATTACTGTTCTAAATCAACATTTTTATTAAAAAATCAACATATCTTCATTTCTTCCTCTTAAAGGGATTGAGGGGATCTGAAGGCATATCAGAGGATTAAGATGGATATAATGGGATTTAGAGAGATTTGAAGGGATAGGCAGAATTTTGGATTTGAAGGGGTAGGCAAAAAAACTGCAGGCAAAAATTTTAAGAATTTTGGAAGATCCCTAAGCCAGGATTCTTCCCTTTTCAGGGCCGCAGGCGAAAATTTTGAGAATTTTGTAATGCCTTAGGAGAAAAAATTCACTTGTCAGAACCGCAGGCAAAAAATTTTATTGAAGTTTAGTTGTTCATGAAGCCAGAACTCTTAATTTTATGCGCCGCAGGCGAAAATTTTGCAAAATTCATGACTAAGTTTAAATTTTTAATGCTTTTTCAAGCTTAAAATATTAAAAAAAATAAATTTAAAAATCTAAAATAATAATTAAAGTTTAAAAACATTTATTTTTGAAAAGAAAAAATATTTTAAGCCCATTTCCCGCCCTGGACTCGAGCCCACACCCATGAAAATATTAAGCCAGTCGCCTTACCCACTCAACCACCGACCAACTAAAAGAAATAGAAGAAAATATAAATATTCCTTTCCCTTTTCCTTCATATATTTAACCGATCACTAGTAAATTATGCAGTTTGAGTCGGGGTCATAAAAATTTTTCGGGGTTCGGGGTCGAACTTTCGGGGGTCGGGGTTTTCGGGGTCGGGAATGTCGGGGTCGGGGTTTTAGGTCAAAAAATGTCGGGGATCGGGGTCGGGGTTAGTCGGGGTTAGTCGGGGTCGGGGAGCAACCCTAATTCTAATTGATCTGACCACCTTAAAAATAAATAAAAAATATGGGTTTTATTGCGGAATATTTTTGCGGACTTGTTTACTAAAATGTTCATTTAGTAAAAATCCGCAAATATTTTGCGGATTTTTTAAAGTAAAAGGCTTTTATATCAAATGTCAGCAAAAATTATCCGCAAGAATTGTCCGCAAAATTTTTGCGGACTTTTAATCAAAATTTCTAAATCCGCAAATTTCTTGCGGAAAACTTTTGCGGACATTGATAATCAAAAGCTTTGGATCCGCAAAAATTTCTACGGACGCTAGAGTCCTTTTATCTCTAACAAATTCGATAAAAGTTCCGCTAGAAGCAAATAATTATTTTAAAAAATACCAAAATCCGCATCAGATTTCTCCAACAATAAATCTAATAACCATTTCCTTTCTTCATCAACATCTTCTACGTTGTAAAACATTTTTTGTCTTCCTTTTGTTTTTCAGTGTCATCAGCCCAAATATCCAATTTTAAAGTATGAATTTCTTCAGCCCCAAGGAAATATCTAAATACAGGGAGGCCAGTTTTTTATAAAAAATTACTTGCGGAAAATCCGCAAATTTTTTGCAGATTTTTAGACGGCAAAAAACTGTCCGCAAATTTCTTGGAATTTTGCTCTCTAATAAAAGTCCGAAAAATTTTTTGCGGATTTATGTAAAGTCCGCAAACTTCATAAAAAAATGCAAAAATCTTTGTGGACTTTTGATAAAAATTTTCTAAGTAATTTGCGGATAAAACTTGTGGACTTTTTAGAGGAATAAAGAAGAAAAAAACCTCCACATACATTAACTGTGAGAAGATCCCTCCTTGCTTTTCCAGGAACGTCTACTTCTAGCTACAGACTAGCAGGACACATTGAAAGTGTACTTGGAATTCTACAAAAATTAAAGAGATTACATTAAAGTTCTAATTAAAACCCTGAGCTTCTATTTCTCAATGGGCCCCTTGGGTGGGATTTTATTGGAGAAGGAGGTTACATTTTTAATGGATCATTTTGAATGAGTTTCTATTAGAGAGGTCGTTTATCTACAAAAGGCCCGCTTATGTAGGGTCCTAATAGAGCCGGCGTCTATCTATTGGAGAGAGGGCGTCTATTAGAGAGAGGGTCTCTCAGACCTTTTAGGCACTTTAAATAATTTAAAACCAAACTTGATTGGCTGATCAATTAAACGTCTCAATTGTTCACAAAATTTAGTCAAGTCCAAAGCTTTTTCCAACTCTCTTAAACCCAGAGGTGGTGCCGCTCTTCCTTTTTCTATTATTGTTGCTGTTGTAAAAATGTTGCTGCTGAGAAGATTGCTGCGATGGCTGTCCATGCAATTGTGAACTAAAAATGGTATAGAAAAAAAGTTTTCGCCCAAAAAATCATATTTTCCAAACCTCTCAAGCTCTGCAGTCAAACCCCCAAAAAGCAAGAGTATCTCCACCAGGCCATATAACATCCAGAGGTCGAGTTGCTAATCGATCAATCTGGTCCAAACCATGTAAAAGTTCAAATTTTGTGAAAGGAACCAGTAATTGTCGTCAAGGGAAATCGATTACCTTATTTTTAAAATTCGAATAAATTATAATCCGAATCAACAAATTGTAAATAAAAAGAAAATAATTATAGTATTGATTGCTAAATCACTAAAAAAATTTGTACCTATAGCAATATTTATTCGTCAAAACAGATCCAATAAGGATCTTACTTTTGTGTTAATAAAAACAAAAAATAAAAATGTCAAACAATTGCCAAAAACAATAATTTAAATTCCCATGCAGCATGACGCCCATCAACTTACAAAATTTACAATTCCAAATCGAAAACGGGATAGTTCGGGTGGTAGTTGGGAAGAGGGTGTGTGGAGGGCAGAGGGTGGGTGGGCAACATTTCAATCCTCTTAAATTATTTCCTCTATTAACAACTTCTCATTTGGGATTATTGTCTTCGTCTTCCTTAGCATCTTGAATTTTACGATTCTTGGCTTTTTGATTCTTATGCCAAACCTTAGCTCGCTGAAATAAAATGACAAGGCAATATTAAAAAAACAACCTCCATTCTAATTCCATAATTTTCAAGCAAGTTATTGAGGTCATCTTTTGTCCATTGGTTCCCTTCATATAACGAATTAAGTGCGGCAAGCTGTTCGGTAGTAAAACGCTGATAGCCAGTTCCGCTAGTGCCAACCTAAATTTTCATTTTTAATAAAATGCTTAATTTAAAAATCAAACTGAAGTTCCTTGATCATAACAAAGTTTTAATTTGTCATCTTCTAGTTGCTTAATTTTCTTCTTTAAATCAGCGATTAAATTGTCGCTCTTCTCCTGTTCATTTTGTTTGTCAATTAACATAGCCTCTTTAATCGCCATATCAGCATTTGCACATTTTAATTCTTCTTCCATTTTCATAATTACATCGCCAGCGTTGTCTAATGCAGTTTTCGTGTCTAATAACTAAAATAGAATTATTCGTAAATTTAAGAATATCAAAAAAGAACTTCTTTAATTTGAGAATTTTCTCTTAAAAGTTGAGCATTCTTCTCTTCACAAGATTTAACTAAACGTTCAGAAAATTCTTTATGTTCGTTGAATTCTTCCTTTATTTTTGTCAACTCCTCTTCCAATTGTTTTTCCTTATTGGACTTCCAAAAAACCATTCTAAAATAAAAATGAGAAAATTAAATGGCTTATAATTTAGCCGCCAAGTTATCGCTACAAGAAAAGATATTATAATGTTTAAAACTAGTTATTTTATAAATAAAATCAAATTGAAATTTTATTCCAATTAAAAAAATTAAATGAAATTAAAGAAATACTGGCCCAGATTCTGAAATACGTATTGATCAACAGCATTACCAAAAAATATTTGTTGTTGTTTTTGTTGTTCATTACCAATATTTTCATACGAACTTTCACTCATTCTAATTTCTAATGTTTCATTCATTAAACTATTATTGCTTGAATAAACATCGTTGTTGTTGTTTTGTTCTTCAACAACTTCAACATTATTTATTTTTAAAGTACTACTGCTTGTTGTTGTTGAATTTTCTATATTCTCAAGATTTAATTTCTTTTGAACACTAAAACATTTATTAACTGTTGTAGGTTGTTTGTTTTTGTTGGTTGTTTTCAAAAACATTTTCTTCTTTGTTCTAATTAATGTTTTGTTGATTGTTTTTCCTGAGAAATATTTTGTCGATGAATAAATTGTCCTTAAGTAGTTGTAGGAACTTATTTACTTTAACTTCCGACCCCGAAAATTTACCAGATGCCTAATTTAATTTTTACCCAAAATTTTTTTATAAATACCAAAAATTCGAATTCTCATTCTCCAAAATCATTCCAGTGATCTTTCCATCATCTTCTCCGCGGCAATAACGAGATACCATTGGATGAAGCAGCTCACCAAGAATTTGCTTCTGCACCTAAAAATTTAAAAAATAATTTTTTCAATCAAAACATTTTATTAGATAAACCTCAAACGTTGTTAACAGTCAAAAGTTGGTTTGTAGAATTTTCTGGATTTGCAGCAGCCATTCTATGTCCAGCTCCACCTCCAGACAACTGCGGACCACGCTGTTGATTCATCGGGTTTGAATAGCAAGAATATGCGACAGCATTAGTCTATTGCACGGTTTTTGGCGGGCCCTTTAACAAATTTTATAAATACTACACGAGACTAAAAACATAGAAAAAACCTGATAACGCATTTGACCTTGCTGAGCAGCCTTTCCAGTATACGAGACTGTTGCTGCTGACGTTGCTGATCGTCTTCGGACCACAAATTCGCCAGGTCCGTCCATACCACCACCGCCACGAAAATCACAAGCGACCTGATTAGCATAAGGGCCCCCAGCATTTGTCACATCATGTAGCCTTGCATTGGTCTAAAAATAAGTTTATTGTCAATTCTCAAAGAAAGACAAACGTCTAAAACCGCCATTCCAAAGCAGCTGTATTCCACGGAATTGAGCTCCAGGTATGTTTGCAGATTGTATAAATGGTGCATGCGCTTATTTTGAAGAGCTTGAGGAGGAAGAATCCTCCACTAGCAGGTGCATACATTGTTTCCATAATTCCAGGAGGGTTTTGCATACGCATAGTAGCCTTAAAATTGAAAATATAACCTCGAACATCCAAAAACTAACCAAGCGTTGCATGTATTGATTAGCAAGTTGAGCCATACGATCCTCCTTGCGCTGAGCCAAAGCAACATAAAGTAGTTTGTTCCCAATAATTTTATTATAGATTTCAACAACCGCTTTAGTCGCATTGTCAGGTTTCTCAAAGCAAAAAAACCAAATCCTTTAGAACGTCCACTTTCGTCACAAATGACCTACAAAAAATTTTTAAAAATCATTTTTCAATCAAAAAATCTTTAAAAAAACCTTAGCACTAGCAATAGCTCCATGTTATTCAAATGTATACGAAGAGCATCATCCAAAACTGTATCGTCCAAATTCTTCACATAAAGATTGACAACTTGCAAACGTCGAATACGATCAGCCTTGAATTGTTCATAGCGATGTTAGTTCAGATTGGCGTTCACTCTTCTTCTGTGCACGGCAAGACAGTAAAATGTAAATCTGCGCGGCCAGGAACTTCCTTTTCATTCATTTCCTCCACCGATCGAGCCGCGCTCTCATGATCCATGAAAGCAACAAAACCAAAACCTCTAGGCTTTCCATCATTATCCTCCATTGATTTTGCCGAAATAATCTCCAAATGCAAAAAAGATTTCACGAAGTTTATCAGAATTGATAGCATCGCCAATTTGAACTTTCCAACAAACCTAGAAAAACAAGCAAAGTTAAAGGGCAAATTCAAAAAACAATAGTTAAGTTTGTTTCCCCTTTTTTTCTTTCGGCTGTAGTGTAGTGTACCGGAGATAAAAGTTCGGGACGTGGCATGTCATTCGATTCGTCTCGACGAGCTGAGTCGATGTTACCACTCCCAATTTCAGGAAAAGATTCTGGACCTTCTATTTGAAACAAAACCTCATTATAAAGTAAGGTCCGTTTCAGACCAAAGGGGTATCTTAAAGTGGTTAGATAGCAGTGGGCACTCGGACCTGGACCAATCAGAAACCCCCAGAAAAATAAACTAAACAAACCTCACATTTATATCAAAACGAAGCTTGCAATCCTTGTATTCACAGAAAAGCGGATCAGGCTGCGAAGAGTTTGTCGTTTTTGAATCAGCAATTGTTTTGCTGTTGGACTTGTCTTCATTGTTGGCCTGTCATTTTTTATTTATAAAAATCTAAACCGAATATCTTTAGAAATTAAAAAAAATTTGCGTACAAATTTTGCGGACTATTTTTATCTGAATAATGTCCGCAACAATTTGTAGCAAAAAATTGCTCGCAAAAGTCTGCAAAAATTGACCGCAATAAAGTCTGTAAAAAAGGTCCGCAAAAAATATCTGCAAAATCTGTCCGCAAAAAACAAATGATAAAAAATATTAAAAATCGTTTAATTAACGATACCAAAAATCAAAAATATTCTGACTAACATTTATAAATTATTAAATATTTTAAAAATAAAATATCAAAAAAACCTTAAACAACCCCCAAATCACTCAATAATTCCTGTCTTCCTCAAGACTTCTTTTGCTTCAGCCACTTCTTTAATTAATTCCTCTCTAGCATTTTTGCAATCATTAAAAGTTGCGACGCCATAAATAACAGTCAACTCAGCATAAATTCCAATTGATCCGACCACCTTAACAAATAAATAAAAAATATGGGTTTACTAGCAGAATATTTTTTGCGGACTTGTTTACTAAAATGTTCATTTAGTAAAAATCCGCAAATATTTTGCGGATTTTTTAAAGTAAAAAACTTTTATATCAAATGTCAGCAAAAATTATCCGCAAGAATTGTCCGCAAAATTTTTGCGAATTTTTAATAAAAAAAGCTTTGTCCGCAAATAAAATTTTGAAATATGCAGACGGAATTTCCTCTAATGAAAAAAATCCAAAATTTCATTTATTCACAAAAATTATTTTAAAAAACCTTTCTAACTCCACTAGGAATTTCATCAAATTTTGCCAAAACATTTTTTGAACGTAATTGATTTAATTTATTTTTGGCCACTTCAATAATCTTTCAACAAAAAATTCCAAATTTTGTTTGCTGAGTCATAATTTCTTGAAGGAATTTCTTTCAATTTTAGAGGTATTAAACTGTCGAATGGGTGGAATTCTAACTGAAAAAATAAAAAAAACTTTTTAAGAAAAATAAAAAAATGTCCGCAAAATCTGTCCGCAAAAAAATTTTTGTCCGCAAAACAAATTTTTCATTAGAATTGTATAGACAAAGCGAAACACCACGATTTAATATATACCTCGGCATGTTATAGCTTACTCGAAACCAGGAACCTATTTAAAAACCTAACCTTTTTTTAATAGACCGAAAACACAATATTTCTTCAATACGTGAAATTTCTGACAAACCTTACTATACGGGACGATTTTTTTAACCCCGAGAGGTATCTTAAAATGAGATCAGACCTTAATTTTAAAAATCCCATGTGCCACATAAATAATTTCTTAAAAATCACAAAAAGAAAAACCCGCAAAAATTGTCCGCAAAAATTTTTTGTCCGCAAATTTTTTTAATTAAAAATGTTTTCAGACCCTAAATCTCTACGAACTCTCCTTGAACAAAACCCGCGGATTCGTCCCAACGTACAACAGATCAAAGATTTTATTTAAATTTTAAACAATTATGGCGTTATGTTTTTTTGGCATAACGATTTTTCACAAATCGGCAATCTATTTTTGTCTTTTTCTACTATTTACATATTTTTTTAAATTATTTTTGTTTTTCTTTTGAAAAAATGTTTTTTCTCCTACATCTTAATAAATGCGTATTTGTATAATCTTCTTTTTTGCCTGTTATGTGAATTACATAGGTAAAAATGTTTTATCTTAAAAGAAGACTTTCGCTTCTTCCCTTTCCAAATCATTCACATAAATTCACCCCTTTCTATACACTTTCTCTTTTTACAAAAATGTGTTGCATATTTTGTCTAAGTGAGATGTTGTAACAAAAATGGATTGCCTGTCTCTAGTTCATAATTATTTATTAACTTCACTTTTTTTTGAGTTTTCTCAGGAAATTTTTCATAAATTGATTTTTGTAAATATGTACCTAATTATTTCCGTAACATTTTTTTAAATTTCGACCATAATCTTAAGAAAACTCAAAAATCGGAGTCTTTTTTAAGCATCCCAAAAATTATTTTTATTTTTCAAAATTTTAAGGTGATTAAATTAAAAAATTTTTTTATTAAAAATGAATATTGGTGATGAGGGAATGCTTCTCTCTAATATTGCAATTTGTGTTGGTATTACAAAAGATGAATGTTTTGAATTAGCTCATCTACTTGTGTTAGGTAAGGGTTGCGCCTGAACGATCGGGGAGGGTGGGTCCCGCATGATTTTAAATTTTCTCACGTAAAATAACTCCGGGGTTTTAAGAGGGATCTTTTCTTATGATACTAGAGCTTCCGGAGAATTTTGCTAATTACCCTAGTTATAAATTTTTAAAATCTAGATCGACCACAACGCACCTTTACTTGTCCGTGGAAGTTAGACGAACATTTTGAAATTGGCCGTTGGTGAGTAAAATAAATTTTAATTAAATTAAAACATGGGAATGTTTGTCAATGTTTAATTAAACATTAACAGCTAAACAAAACAATGGGTAATCTTCCGCTTTACTGGTCCCTAGTAAAAAATGTGGTAGAAGTACTTTTTCGATATTTTTGAGGCATGCCAGTGGGTAATCGAGCTTGCTGAGTCCGAATCTGAGCTTAGAATTTGTTTATTTCGAACCCCGGACCCGAATTCGACCAAGTCGAATTCGGGGTAAGAATTCGAAACTATTAGGCTGTAGATATTCTGACGCATCTCTGCAAGCTGAGTCGAATGATATCAAAATTATTGTGTTTCGACAACTTTAGACTGAGTTATAATCAATTAAATACACGCCTGGTTAGTTTGGTATCAATCGACTCAGCTCGAGGAGCTGAGTCCGATTAGACATAAAATTTGAAATTTCGAATTTTTATCCCATGTTTGACATGGTCGAATTCGGGTCCGGGGTTCGAAATAAACAAATTCTAAGCTCAGATTCGGACTCAGCAAGCTCGATTAACTACTGGCATGCCTCAAAAATGTCGAACTAGCAGTTATTCCTCTTTTTTTAGGGACCAGTAAAGCGGAAGATTACCAAACAATGTTTTAGTTGTTTTGAACAGTCATAAACAAACCGCTAAAACATGCATCTAAATAAACATGTTTGTAAACATTGACAAACGTGAATTTTTAAACTTGTTTTTAGAAATGTTTTTAAACATGTTTAATTCAATCAAAACATGAAGACAACAAAAACATGTTTTTTAATAAACATGTTTTTAAACACGTTTAAATGAATTTGTTTAAATGAACTTGAATGCAAACATTTAAACAAAACATTCAAGTTACAATAATTAACCCTAATTGTTAAAACAAACATCTAAATAAACTTTAATTTGAACAAAACATTTAAATAAACTTTAATTTGAACAAAACATTTAAATAGATCTTAATAGAAACAGTTTAAACTTAAGGTATCGCCAAGTGCGTGTTAAGGATGAACATTCAGCAATAACTAAGACTTATTGGAAATTAATGGATGAATTTATTCCAACAATTTTAATTCGAGCTGAGGAAGGATTTACTTTGATTGAGGTGAATTTAAAGGAATTCTGTTAGCTCTTTAATTTTTATTTATTTTTTAGGTATCATTGCCTATATATTTTGCACCAGACTTATCCTTATTTTCATCGTTACAACATAAAAATTCAAAAGTTGCATTACCAATTTGTCCTTTGTATGGACAAGAAAGTCTTCCGGTGGATATTTTCTAAAAATTTTTCAAAATTTACTTTTCCCTTAAATTTTTTCTTAGATTTTTAATGTGCCAGCTGGCGGATTTTCTGATAAAAACGGGAATTCACCTGTACCCGGAACCTTGTATGGCTTTCGAGTTGATATGTGAAAAATTTATTTATTTAAAAACTCAGTTTAAAATTTTAGCGCATTTGCTCCTGGATTTGACCCGATATGGTCATATAATGGAAATTATGTTCGTAATCTTGATTATTTTCATGGGACTTCAGCATATGTATTTGAGGTAAGTAAACTTAAAGCGGTAAAGATTTAAAAAAATTTAAGATTTAATTCAATAAGGGAGCTAATTGAGAAAAAAACAAAAAATCTAAGATTTTTTGTACTTATTCCCCCCCCCCCAGTCCGCAATTTAGTTGGAGTGCGGAATGGTCAGTCATTTTTTCCTTCCAAAAGTTTAAAAAATTTGCCTGTGTTCACATTCATTCACTCTTACTTCAATTCAGGCATCTTTGTTTTTTATTGCCTGTCACACATATTTACCCCGTACTTCAACTAAATTGCGGACGGGGGGGGGGGGGGGGGTGAGCTTTCAATCGAATATGAAAAGGAACTTAAGGTACTTTTATTGTGTAATTTCATTTTTAAGTATATTTCAAGTCATGACAGTGTTTATAAAGTTCAGATTTACTCGTACTCTGTACAGGCCTATTTTTGGTCTCGTATTTCGAACCTAAGTACGAGTACGAATTGTGGTACGAGCTTATAAACACTTGTCATGCAATACGAATTATGTCAAATTTCTCGATGTGATAACTATTAATTTTTGGGGATTTGAAACATTTTAATTAGAGCCCGGACCGTACCGTACTACGGCCGTATTTTTCGGTATTTATCGGTATTCCGTATCGGTAGTACGATACGGAATACCGACCGATAAGATTTTCAAGTTTATCGGTATTTTTCGGTATCGGTATTTTTCGGTATTCCGTATCGGTAATACGGTACGGAAAAATCAAAATACCGATACTACCGACCGATGAAATTTTTCAAAATTTTATTATATTTTAAGGGAAAAAAGGCTTCTTGGCCATTGAAAATTCTTAAAATTTTTGCCTGCGGCGCTATAATAGGATGAAATTCAACTTCATGGATTTTAAAATTCTCAAGATTTAGAAGAAGAATCAGAAAAATTAAGAAATATTTCCCTTGGTTTTCGAAAATTTCACAAGATTTTCGTTTGCGTCGCTGAAAGTGTTTAAGTCCGATGGACTGATATAGAGGGATTATGAGTAAACAAGACTGGATTTAGGGGATTATCAGATGTATCGAGAGGGTTTGTGATGATTAAGTGGATTTGTGTGGATTAAATGGATTTAATGGGTTTTACGTTCAAGTCTAGGGATTAAGAGATATCTGGCTTTGGGGATATTGAGGGAATAGGGATATTGAGGGAATTGAAGGTTAATTGTTGTCAAGAAGGGTAAGGAGGAATTTTACGGTTAATCCGCTGATATCTTTTAAATCGCCTTAATCCCTTTAATCCACTCATATCCACCATAATCATCAAATCTCCGGATCACCCTTAATAGTACAAACTTAACGATATTCCCCTTAAGACGATGATATCAATTCATATCTCCTTAATCCCTCAAAATCCACCTATATCCCTCTAGATACTCAGATATCCCTCCAAATCCATACTAATCCCTGCAATTCTTCAATATGCGACTTTATCCCTACAAATTTTTATATAAAAATATTTATTTTTTAATAAATTAATTTTTTAAAAATACGGTACGGAATACCGATTAATTTTTATCGGTATTTATCGGTATCGGTATTTTTCGGTATTCCGTATCGGTAATACGGTACGGAAGAATTTTGAATTTCATCGGTATTTATCGGTATCGGTATTATACGGTAGTACGGTACGGAATACGGTACGGTACGAAATTCCGGGCTCTAATTTTAATAATTAAAAGCAGCTTAGGATATACTTTAGCCGCTGGTTTACTCAGAATATGCAAATAATAGCTCATTCGAAAGTCGAATTACACCAAAATAACGAATTCCGACTTGATTTAACCGAGATATTGTCCTAAAAATCGAAGGTCCGAAATTCAGCTCGCCGAAACGAATTGAATGGTACGTAATTTGACCCGTTTCTGAGTGGGCCACCGGCTAAAGTGAGTGGGCCAACGGCAAAAGTAGAAATTAAGGTCATCCCCATCCTTCTCCTTTTTTCCTAAAGTTATTTCAATTTACATTTATTTTTATTTAGGACATTAAAAATAAAGTTGACAATCTTGAAAATAAAGTTGCTGATCTGGAAGCAGACAAGAAATGTGCTCTTGATTTTATTAAAATTAAAGAAAAAGAATTAAGTGAAGAGAGGAAAGAAGTTGAGGAATTAATTATTTTGAATGGAAATTTGCAAACAAAATTTGCCGAGGTTAAACTCTAAACGTTTAAGGTTAAACTTTTTATTTTTTAGCTTGAACGTAATTCAAAAGATGTGCAAAAATTCCGATTATTGGAAGAACAAAATAAAACGGTATTTTATTTTTTAAATATAAATTTAACATAAAATTTGATTTAAACCAAATAAATATACATAGTAGATAGAATAAACCATTAAGCTCTTAAGGATCAGTTTCTCTTAAATCATTTCAATTTTTATTTAAAAAAATATTTTTTTATAGTTGACGGAAACTAATTCTTCATTGAAACGAAAAACTAACGAATTAAACAATGAAATGGAGAAATTAAAACGTGGAAAGGTATTTTTAAAAAAATTTTGTCTGTAAAATGGTATTCCTGAGACAAAATTTCGATACAAACACATACCATCGATTTGTCAAAGCGAGATGGGTCTAACGATACCACTCTACGGAAATACCAGTGAATCGAGATCCTCGAAAACCTATATATGGGAAGCCAAATTTTAGGGTGAAAATTCGTATATGCAACATCCACTCAGTTCGGTGAAGCGGATCGCGCTATGTATTTTGTATCGAAATTTTTCCTCAGGTTTAATATATCATTTTTTGGGATCGTTTCCGTGACTTTTGCGGCCGTGAACATTTGCACCGCGACCTATGTGCCGACTTAAGCTAGCGCCGTCGCTATCATTAAAAATATATGAATAACTACAGCCAGACCTCACTATAGTAGGGTTGTAGGATAGTTGGAAATCTTCGGATATCCGGATCCAACAACCCTATACTATAGTGGGGTTGTCGGATCTTTTTTCTGCCTCACTTGGGCAGAAAATCATGCCGGAATAGGGTCAGCAGATTCAAATATCCTGATCCGAAAAAGTCAGCAAATCAGAAATCATTTGGGATATCGGATCCCATGTATTTTTAATTTAAATTCTTGTACATCCATTCGAATATTTCCGCTTACTCCTTATTTAATTCATCAGCTACTGGAAATCTATTGTATGTACTTTCTGAACTTACTTCAGTTCCTGGATGCCATTTTCTAAACCCACGGGTGGTAAATGTCCAGCTCGCTGTCCACATGTCCGCAAAAGGCATTTCTGCGAAAAGCATTTTTCTACATTTTTCTCCTTTTCCTCTCCTGAAGTGACAGGTTGGATGATGGGTGACGGTTTGGCGCAAATTCTGTTTATTATGTAAAAAAAAATTATGGAAAAAGAAAGGAGTGTCTGGATTTTGTGATAACTTGACTAACTCCGTTATCCTTCCTAACCACCAAATCGGGAATATTAAAAGATTTATAGGGATTAAGGGGGATATCAGAGGAAATGACAAGACAAAATCCCGAAAAATGGACACTTTTCGACCCGAAACTCGAACCGAAGATTATCTTGAATTCCTTTAAAACTTAAGAACCGTTTCATGTTTACAATAAATTTAAAAATTGATTTTCAAAGTTGTAAATAAAGGCTCTTTTTCCATAATTAATTTTACATAATAAACAGAATTTACGCCAAACTGTCACCCATCATTCAACCTGTCATCAATCAAGAGAGACAAAGGAGTAAAATGCAGAAAATGCTTTTCGCAGAAATGCCTTCTGCGGACATGTGGACAGCGAGCTGGACATTTACCCCCACGTGGTACAGGTGCAATTGTAGTTATTATTTTATTTTTTAAAATAATGGCGGCGCATAAGTCACCCGGCGCTAAGCCGCGACGCAAATGTTCTCGGCGCAAAAGTCGTGATACTGCGGGTAGGGTTCAACCAATCTGGTCAACTCCCTCCTTTTCCGCCCGAATATTTGAAGTTAACCACCTACTGCTCTATAGCATGTAAAATGTTTAGCCAGCAACTCTACTGTATACCTTTTTTAAAAAGAATTTCCAGAATCTGTCCGGGCGTTTTCTGCATTGGGAGTAACTTAAAATTCCGTTCTCTCATTCTTATAGTACGAACACTGTGAGTTGACCAGATGTGTGGACCTTTCTATTCTGGAAAGAAATTCGTAGGATGACGGAGTAGTTTCAAAATTTTAAGAACTACATTTTCAGTTAGAAAACGAGAAGCCACATTCAACCTACGGACGACCTCCATTATTCAAGATTAATCAAACCAGACCTACACCATTAATGAAAAGTAATCGAGAAATAAAGCTTGTTGTTCCTAAGGATCGTCAGAAAGTAATAATCTTATGTAATATAAATTTTAATTAATCTAAAATTTAGGTATTTTATGAACGAATAGGGCTCCAACAATGGTATTTACATAAACACCTGGAGCGCACAACTGGATGCAAAATCCATGTACGTAGTGAAGGAAGTGAAATGCATGTTGTCATAGAGGTAAGTATAAATTAAATTTAAGTATTAAAATTAAAAAAACTAGGTATGTATTATAAAACTAATAACTCCCTTATGGGTGTGACTTTTGCTTAATAATACATTGAAAATTATATTTTTGTTAATAGCAAAATGTGAAATAACTGAAAAACACCATAAAATTGCTCAAAAGGTGCAATTAAGGTGTTTTTTGAGATTGAAAAATATATCTTACCGCGTGGTTTCGAACCCACGACCCAAACTTTTTTATGGTCAAATTATCAGCTGGGTTTGATAATTCTGAACAAAGTTATGATCAATTGAATTTTCGCTGGAGAAACTCCTTGCGGTCCTCGTTTCGTTCGTGGCAACGGTAGCGAAGTGGAGGACGTCATTCCTCTTGACATCCTCAACTTCCATACGGTGGACCTTTCTATTCTGGAAAGAAATTTGTAGGATGACGGAGTAGTACCAAAATTTTAAGAACTACATTTCAGTTAGACACATTCAACCTACGGACGACCTCCATTATTCAAGATTAATCAAACCAGACCTACACCATTAATGAAAAGTAATCGAGAAATAAAGCTTGTTGTTCCTAAGGAACGTCAGGAGGTAATAATCTTATAATATGTAATATAAATTTTAATTAATCTAAAATTTAGGTATTTTATGAACGAATAGGGCTCCAACAATGGTATTTACATAAACACCTGGAGCGCACAACTGGATGCAAAATCCATGTACGACGTGAAGGAAGTGAAATGCATGTTGTCATAGAGGTAAGTATAAAATTAAATTTAAGTATTAAAATTAAAAAAACTAGGTATGTATTATAAAACTAATAACTCCCTTATGGGTGTGACTTTTGCTTAATAATACATTGAAAATTATATTTTTGTTAATAGCAAAATGTGAAATAACTGAAAAACATAAAATTGCTCAAAAGGTGCAATTAAGGTGTTTCTTGAGATTGAAAAATATATCTTAC